GGTAAGATCGGTCATTCCACTCCTCGCTGTTTTCATCGTCTGGACGACCTGTTCCGCCAGCGCTTTGGCCCGGCGCCCGACCTCCCGGACTGGCACAGCTTGCTTAGGCGTAGCATTCGGATTTTTGACCTGGACATGGATGCCATTGTAGCAGCCTTGCATGTGATGTATGCCGATGACTCTAGTGTGCTTCCCTCTTATTACCCCGTGTTGCCTAGTGTAGCTGTGCCTAGCGTAGACTCCCCTGCTGCGTCAGGCGTAGGATCTCCTGCTTTGCTTAGCCTCGGTGCTTCCACCGCTTCACTGTCGCCCCGCGCGACTGCTGCGCTTTCCTTCACCTTGGACTCTGGCGCCTCCCGGTGTTTCTTCCGCGACTCCACGACGCTGACGCCGCTGCCTGTTCCCACTGCAGTTACTCTTGCTGACCCCTCCGGTGGTCCCGTCGTTGCCCGCAGTTCCACCTCCCTTCCCTGTCCGGCGGTTCCTTCAGGTTCGCTCACCGGTCTGCGTATCCCCTCGTTCTCCAGGAACCTAGTTGGTGTCGGCTGCCTCCAGGACCTTGGCGTCACCACTACGTTCCCTGGTCACGAGCGGTATGCTGTCTGTACCGAGGCCGCCACTGGTGCCCCCCTTACCACTTTCCCCCGGGACCCGGTGTCCGGCCTGTTCACACTTGACACCGCGACTTCCCCGGCTGGGTCTTCCCCCCAGGTCGCTGCGTCCACCCAGGTTGCTGCTGCGTGCTCCTGTCGGTCCCTCACTCACCCGACTCTCCTTTGGCACCACCGCCTTGGTCACCCTGCGCTCCCGCGTCTGCGTCACATGTCCCAGCACGGTCTCGTCCTTGGTCTCCCCGGTTCGTTCCCCGAGTTTCCCTCCTCCCCCGCCCCCCCGTGCACGCCTTGTGTCGAGGGCCGGCTCCGCCGTGCCCCTCACTCCTCCTCGTTTCCCCCTACCACCGCACCACTGCAGACTCTGCACATGGACGTCTGGGGCCCAGCCCCGGTCCATGGGCCGCGTCGCGAGCGCTTCTTCCTAGTGCTTGTCGACGACTTCACGCGCTACACCACCGTCTTTCCCCTGGAGCGGAAGGCCGACGTGCCTGACGTTCTCATCCCCTGGCTTGTCTCTGCTCGTCTCCACCGCGGTCTCCCTGCCTTGCGCCTCCACTCCGACCGGGGTGGCGAGTTCGCCTCAGGTGTCCTTGGTCGCTTCTGTCGTGCAGAGGGCATCACCCAGACGTTTACCCTGCCGGACTCCCCGCAGCAGAATGGGGTCGCTGAGCGACGCATCGGTTTGGTCATGGAGGTGGCTCGCACCTCCATGATCCACGCCGGTGCACCCCATTTTCTGTGGCCGTTCGCCGTGCGCTACGCCGCTCACCAGCTTAACCTGTGGCCGCACCCCCAGCGGCCGCAGGTTTCGCCGACCCTTCTGTGGACCGGGTCCCCTGGTGACGCGTCTGCGTTCCACGTCTGGGGCTGCCTTGCTCACGTTCGTGCCTCTGGCACGGACAAGCTCACTGCCCGCACCCTCCCCTGCGTCTTCCTCGGTTTCCCCCTTGACGCGTCCGACTGGCACTTCTACCACCCGCCGTCTCACCGTTTCTTTCACTCTCGCGACGTCACCTTTGACGAGTCCGTCTCCTTCTACCGCCGCTTTCCCCACCGTGGTCCCCCGGTTACTCCCCCCCTGTTCCTGGTTCCTCCCTCCCTGGTGGCCCCTGCCCCTCCCCCCCCCCGCCCCCCCGTCCGGCCCCCTCTGGTGTGTCTCACGTCACCCCCCTCCCGTCGGTCGTTCCGGTCGACGAGTCTTCTGACTCTGGTAGTCCTTTGGCGCAGTCCTCACCGTCTGTCCCTCCCCCGGTGTCTCCTCCTCCACCGCCTCCGCAGCCGCCGTTGCCGCGGCTACTGCTGCCGTCGTCTCCACCGCCGCCGCCGTTGCAGCCGTCGTCTCCGCCGCCGCCGCCGTCGCAGCCGTCGCTGCAGCCGCCGCCGCCGCCGCCGCTGTCGTCGCTGCCGCCGTTTGTGGACTCTGGGGGTGCTGGCGTTGAGGTGGGTACTAGTCCCGGGGCTGCAGTCGTGGCTTGTCCCGGCGGGCCTGGGGGTGGTACCGGTGCTGGTGGGGTTTCGGGCTCTGGGGGTGTCCCTTCTGGGGGTGCAAGTGTGGAGGGTTCGGGAGGTAGCCATCGCGCAGCTTGTGGCTCTGGTGTTGGTGTTGTGTCGCCGCAGCAGCAGTCCCCGCCGGTGTCCGCCCTCCGTCTGCTCGGCCTTCCATCCCCTGACCCTGCGCCTGTTCCTCTCCGTCCGTCTCCCCCTCTTCCCGTCTACGGCCCCGTGTTCCCTCCGCCGGACTCGTTCCCGGCTCGTTTTCCCCCTCGTTCCCCACCCGTGTCCCCTCCTCTGTCTCCTGACCCGACGCCGCCCTCTCACGTCTGGTCTCGCCGCCCCTCCCGTGCTCGTCCTGTCTCCCCCGTCCCGCGCACTCACCCTTTGTTGCTCCGCTCCCACGCGTCTCGTCCTCCCCTCCTCCCGTCTCCTCCTCCGTCTTCTCTTGTTGTTGCGTCTCCTCCTCTGTCTGACTACTTTCGTGCCGCTCGTCCTCTTGTTCCTCGGGTCCTTGCCTCTCTCGTTACCGACCCGTCTGTTCCAGTGTCGAGTCTTGAAGCCCTTGTCGCTGCGGTCGCTGGCTTCGCCTCTACCCGCCGCCTTGACTACGCCTCCGCTCTGGTCTCTGACCCTGCCTGTCCTCCGTCTGTCGGGGGTGCTCCTGCCCTCGGCAGTGACGTCCTAGAGGACCGCCAGTTTGAGCTTGCTTTCCTGTCCGAGGCTGCTCCCCATCTCTGTTCCATGCTGCTAGTCCCTGAGGGTGACCCAGACGCTTTTGACATCCCGACCCCTCGTACTTACGCTGAGGCGGTTTCGGGACCTTGGGCCTCTCAGTGGATAGCTGCCATGGAGCAGGAGATGGCATCTTGGAGATCCACCGGCACCTTCGTCGACGCAGTTCCCCCACCTGGGGTGAACGTGGTCGATGGCCGTTGGCTCTTCAAGGTGAAGCGCCCTCCTGGAGAGCCGCCTGTGTTCAAGGCGCGTTACGTGGCTAGAGGCTTCAGTCAGCGCGAGGGGGTGGACTTCTTTCAGACTTTCGCTCCTACCCCGAAGATGACTACTCTTCGGGTTCTGCTACACGTAGCGGCTCAGCGTGACTACGAGCTTCACTCCCTCGACTTCTCCACTGCCTTTCTTCAGGGCAGCCTTCACGAGCAGGTCTACCTGCGTCGTCCTCAGGGCTTTACTGGCACCTTCCCCCCTGGGACCCAGTGGCTTCTGCGGCGCCTAGTCTACGGCCTGCGCCAGGCGCCTCGTGACTGGCACGACACGCTGCGTGCTACTCTTGCTGACCTGCAGTTCTTTCCGTCCTCTGCAGACCCCTCGCTCTTCGTTCGTGCTGGCTCGACTCCGTTCTACATCCTCGTCTACGTAGACGACCTGGTCTTTGCCACAGCTGACAGGGACGCACTGGCCTCCGTGAAGGCAGAGCTGCTGAAGAGACACACCTGCACTGACCTTGGAGAGCTGCGCCGTTACCTTGGCTTGCAGATCTCCAGGGACAGAGCCGCGCGCACCATCACCCTGACTCAGTCACACTTGGTGCGCCAGGTCCTTCAGAGGTTCGGCCTTCAGTTCTCCTCCGCACAGCCCACCCCTCTTCCTCTGGACCACAGACTCTCTGCTCCAGTTCCTGAGGAGTCGGTAGATCCCAGTGGTCCTTACGCTGAGCTAGTGGGTTGCCTCATGTACCTGATGACTTGCACTCGCCCAGATCTCGCATACCCTCTCAGCATCCTGGCTCGTTTTGTGGCCACAGGCAGACACCGACCTCAGCACTGGTCTGCCGCTAAGAGGGTTTTGCGTTATCTTGCAAGTACATCGGGCATGGGGTTAGTGCTAGGCGGACGCAGGCCAGTGGTCCTTACTGGACACACAGACGCTTCTTGGGCAGACGACGCCGAGACGCTCAGGTCTTCCCAGGGCTACTGCTTTAGCCTTGGCTCAGGTGCTGTCTCGTGGAGAGCTACCCGCTCCTCGTCTGTTGCCCAGTCCAGCTGTGAGGCTGAGATCTACGCCGGTGCCATGGCGGCACAGGAGCTCCGCTGGCTGACCTTCTTGCTCACTGACTTAGGTGAGCGGCCTAGCTCTGCCCCGGTCCTGTACGCTGACAACAGGGCCATGATTCTCCTGTGTCAGGAGCCTCGACTCGAGGGCAGAGCGAAGCACATCCAGCTGCGGTACTTCCTCCTGCGCGAGCTACAGCAGCGTCGCCAGGCTCGCGTAGTACACTTGGCCTCCGGTGCCAACACAGCTGATATCTTTACGAAGGCGCTTGCGCCTAAAGATCATCAGCGACACTGTTTACAGCTTGGTCTGGTTCCTGTAGTCTCTCACTTACTCGGGCCTTGACTTTGTACTGTCGTATATATATATGTATACACTCAGACTGGACTTGTGTCCTCTCACAGTGGTTGGACTAGTAGTGCCGCCCTGTACTCGTTCTTGCCTTGTCTGTACTCCTTCTGACTGGTCTTTTAGACCCTTGTCTCAGAGGCTGGACTAGTAGTGCCACCCTGAGCTGCTTGTCTAGAACATTCCCCTATGCAGTCCAGGGGGTGTGTCAAACATGTGTAGTTATCATGTTTGTATAGACTGTATAGGGTCACCTTCTAGAGAGTACAACATTTAGGTATATGTTTGTGTACTCTCTCTCTCAAATCATTCAATTCTATTTCTGATAGTCTACTAAACATACACAAATATGTTTGACAACTGGAACCTACTGTTGAGGGTAGAACTCCCTCCTTGTATCCCTCTCACTTCTAATCTCATTATCTTCTCTCTCCTAGCCTAAAACCTCGCGCCATTCCATGGCTTCCCTAGCTACCTAGCTAGATTGACAGTCTGTGGTTACGATTGCACTAACAGGTACACATGGAGGATATGCAGCGAGTCAAAGTTACATCAGCAGCTAAAGAATAAAGGATCATTTCCATTCCATGAAGGGTGGTTGATAACTACGAGCTGCCATGTCTTGTATGCCAGTAGCACCAATTGTAGTTGTAGTTCCCACAAGCATACTGCAATCATCAAGCCATTCCATCAGATTTATTGCTACTCTAAACAACGGGCTCCGTTTGGCCACTCTTTGCTTCATGACGCCTCAGCAGCAGCAGCGGGCACGATGGGGGTGGCAAAGCTCCGCTCCTTCTCCCACGCCACCTGCGCCATCATCGTCAGCGCTGACCGCGCCTCGCGCTCCTCGCTCACCTCCCCGGCGAACGGCACGCGCACGTCCATCACCCTTGCAGGGAAGTCTGCCGCCGCCGCGGACCCAGGCATGGCGGGGCGCGCGAGCACGCGGAGGTCGAAGCCCAGGCGGTCGATCCAGATGAGCGACGCGTCGTCCACCTGCAGGTCGGGCAGCGCGGCGAAGGCGGCGGGGAAGCGGCGCAGGTCCTGCCAGTGCTCGCGGTTGAAGTCCGCCACAATGCCCGCTGCTACTTCACGTAGGGGGTCCGCGTCCGCATTCAGGTACGCCTCGGGGGAGATCCACTCGCCCTCCTGGGGGGGCGGGGGGGGGGAGGGGTGGGGGGTGGGGGAGCGGCAAGAAGATGCAGGCGGTGGTGGTGAGAGGCCAAGACACTCCAGATTAGGTGGGAGCAGACGCAGGAGTGGCATGGGAGACATGTAGCGAGAGCATTTCTTGCTACGCCTGCTACCATGGCTCATTGTTCTTTTGCTCATGCTCACACATATTCCACACCCCAACCTCTCCCCTTTCCTCCCCCCTCACCTGGTCGGCATCAGGCGCCACGAGCACTCACCTGGTCAGCATCAGGCGCCACGAGCACTCACCTGGTCGGCATCAGGCGCCACGAGCACTCACCTGGTCGGCATCAGGCGCCACGAGCACGCGGTCAACGTCCAGCAGGAAGAGCGCGGAGAACGCGCTGCCATCGCTGCCGCCCACCTCCTCCTCGCTGTCGGGGAAGCGCCGCCGCCACGCCGCCTCCAGCTTCTGGCGGCGCGGGGGAGGCGGGTACGAGGATGCGTGGGAATACGGGAGGAAATGCGAGGCGGGGAGGTGGTGGCAAGTCAGCAGAGCGGTCAGGGGGGCGTGTGGGTGTGTGAGCGCGAGTGCGTGGGTGTATTTGTGTGTGGAAGATACTTTGTCGCATCATAGCTGTTCACGCTCATATGGACCCAAGTTCATTCAACCATGCGCCTCAAGGCGCCACCTTGTGCGGGTTAGACTCTCTCGTCACTCACTGGACTCGCCCTGCCCCTGCCTCCCGTGACTCGCCCTGCCCCCGTGACTCACGGCGAGCGTCTTGCCATCGTGCGCCTTCGTGAGTCGCCCGTGCAGCGACACCTGCGGCTTCTGCTGCCCCGGCAGCTCGATCTGCCCGCCCAGGCACGCGTGGAGTGGCGTGGAGAGGCGGGGGGGGAAGGGGGAGAGGGGGGGGGAGGAGGAAGGGAGGGGGGAGTGAGTAATGAATGGTGTGACAACAGGGTGCCGTGAGCTACCTCATCACCACATGATGGAACCATCCCCCATGCCCTGCAATGCACCCTCCTATCGCCACGTGTCTTGAACGCCCCCCAACCCCCCCACCTGCACGTGTGTTAAACGCCCCCACACCCCCCCCCCCACCCACCTGCACGTGTAGGCACGCCTCCGCGTCGGCGGCGAGGGTGGCGGCGGCGCGGCTGGAGTCGGCGAGCAGCACGATGGGGCGCCCCTCGGGGTCGGGCGCGAAGAACGCGTGGCACGCCAGCGGCCACGTGGCGGGCAGCGGTTGATCGTCGCCGGTGAGGGTGCTGCCCGTGCCGCCGTGCGCGAGCGTGACGAGCGTGCCCTCCGCCGCCAGCTCCACCACCGTCTGCGCCAACTCCGCCGCCGACGGGCGGCCCGCTGGGGGCGCGGCGGCTGTGATGGGGGAGGGCGGGTTGTGGGGAGGGACGGCATGTAAGCATGCGACGCGTAAAGCCGAGGAATTGATGGGGGTGAAGATTCGAGGGTGCGGATGTGAGGGGGCTTGAGATATGGACGGGCCGGGAGGGGGGGGAAGGGGGGGAGGGAATGGGGGGGAGGGGAAAAGGGGTATGCGAGGGGATAGAGATGAGAGGGCGCAGATAAGAGAGCATGTTGGTGCTACTTACCAGCTTCTACTGCTGCTGCGGCGCACCTGACGCCCCTCGCCGCTGCTGCCGCCACGAGCTGAAGCGGGCAGCGATGGGAGAGAGGGGAGAGTGTGGAGTGGAAAGGGGATGGCGTGGAAGTGAACACGTCAGCAAGGATTCTTGCGGCCAATGTCAGACGTCAGGCAGCTGTAGAATAGCCAGAAAGTGTGAGACATTACGCGATCGGAGATGCTACTGTCTGCGAAACCCCTTGAGCCCATACCTGGATTCCCGTGGAGGCCACCTTCTGGCTGCCGGGCGTCGCATGGGTGTTGATGCCAAGGGCTTGCCCGAGGAATGCGGGCTGCAAGGCACGGAGCGTTGGGGGATGAGGAGCACACGGCGAGTTCAGAGCATGCGCTGCGGTGGACGAGATCGAGAGAGGAGGATTCGACGCAGCAGCGCGAGCGGTGGCTCACCTGGGCCTTGGAAGCCCTAGCGGCCGTCGCCTGCGAAGCTCGCTCCACTAAGCATCTGCTCGCCGCTTGAATAGCGCACGAGGAGCACGCGGCAGCCATTGTCGCTAGTTGCGACAGAAGTCGGCAAATTTCCTGTGATGCGAGAAAGTGCCAAAAATTGTGCAATGTGCCGTGCGTAGGTTGCAGAATGAGAGCTGCTTGTGCGAGAGCAAGAGGCGAGGAGAATAGCAGCAGCAGGACAAGGCTGAGAGGCAGGAAGAGGGTGGATTGTCAGGGATGAGGCAGGCTGCCACGTCATTCAAAAATACCCATTTGTGCTTGAAGAAGCTTCTTGGTCCCAGTGACGAAATCGAGGGACTGGGTACACGTCAGCACGCGGCTTGGGATTCCCAGGGCATCGATTCCAATTCAGCGGGAGCGAGGTGTGCGTCATCGCGGTGCTGTCTGTTGTCCTGTGGGAAGCCAGAATCGTGTACGCCATGTGTGATGTTCAAGAGTTTCAAGGCATACACAATCTAGACATACACCTATAACATCTTTCTTTCATAAGCAAGCATTTCCTACCTTCCTAATGCTGAACTACTTAGCAAACTCACTAATACCTACAAATAACTACATATAACTCCTATATCCTACGTTTGTGTCCTGCAACCTCTACTAACCAGATGCAGGGGGCAAGGTGCCGGCCATACATAAGGAAAGGGCAGTGGCGCGATCACTGGGAAGCGCCGCAAGGAGCGGCTGCATTTGATCTGCAAAGGCCTGGGCGAGCTGAGAGCAGGCTTGGCCCACGGAGAGGCGCACTTCCGGTGGGATCTTATCGTTGACCGCCACCTCAGCGAATATGGGCACCAGCTGCGGCACCACTGGTAGGATCTGCACAGGGAAGCCAAGTAACACCACACATACCCAGTGGGAACCTGCTCGTGAGAACCTGGAAGTGGAGGAGGATGAATGGCAATGATACAAAAGTTTCTGTATATGACCACGCCCATCATGGTAGTGCGCTGAATGCCTGACCTGCGGGTGCGAGGCGGCAACAAGCGCCACGAGGCAGCCATAGACGGGCTTGGCCTCCTCCAGGTCGGACTTGAGGGGCAGCGCGGCCACCAGCACCGGCAGCACCTGGGGGGGGAGAGCGCAGAGGGGGACGGCGCAGAGGAGGACGCATTGGGGAGAGGAAGGAAAGGAAAGGGTTGAAGAGTGAGGGGAGAGAAGACGTTTGATTCCATTGACAGGAAGGAGGTCAAGTAGTGGCACAGGTATGGCCCGTGTCACGTGGGGGCAACATGCTTGTGCACAGACATATAACAATAGCAACACCACACACACCTGGTCGAGAGGCATGGCAGCACTGCCAGCAGCGATCATGCGTGCGACAGCACCAGCAGCGTTGTCGCGCACGTCGTCGTCCTCCTCCGCCGAGAAGAGCGGGTGCAGCGCCACCAGCAGGTCCGCGTAGTGCCTGCGGCAAGGCGTGTGGGGGGGGTGGCATGCGGGGTTGCAGAATAGGTGAGCGAAGTGCAAAGGCAGAGTGTGCAGCAGGCGAGAGAATCCAGTGAGGGGGCCGTGAGAAAGTAGCTTTTGAGAAAGCCGTCTGGGGGGCTCTGCACAACGCCTTCCCTGCTGCACACCACTCACCTGTGCATGCCAGCGCCAGCCACCTCAGCCAATTTGCCGGTAGCAAAGGCTGCGTTGCGGCGGTTGGGGGGGTCTCCGCCCCTCAGCTCCGAAGCCAGCACGGGCAGCAGCGTCTGCACACGGGGGATGGGGGGAGGAGGGAGAGGGGGGCCAAGTGATTGACTAATGGCTGCAGGATGGGTAATCAGGGTGTGCTCTGGCGGAGAGGGTGAAGGAGAAGGGGAAGAAAAGGGTGCGGTGGCACAACATGACAGCAGCGCAATGGCACAACATGACAGCAGCGCAATGGCACAGCATGACAGCAGCGCAATGGCACAACATGACAGCAGCGCAATGGCACAACATGACAGCAGCGCAATGGCACAGCATGACAGCAGCGCAATGGCACAACATGACAGCAGCGCAATGGCACAACATGACAGCAGCGCAATGGCACAACATGACAGCAGCGCAATGGCACAACATGACAGCAGCGCAATGGCACAGCATGACAGCAGCGCAATGGCACAACATGACAGCAGCGCAATGGCACAACATGACAGCAGCGCAATGGCACAGCATGACAGCAGCGCAATGGCACAACATGACAGCAGCGCAATGGCACAACATGACAGCAGCGCAATGGCACAACATGACAGCAGCGCAATGGCACAGCATGACAGCAGCGCAATGGCACAGCATGACAGCAGCACAATGGCACAACATGACAGCAGCGCAATGGCACAGCATGACAGCAGCGCAATGGCACAACATGACAGCAGCGCAATGGCACAACATGACAGCAGCGCAATGGCACAACATGACAGCAGCGCAATGGCACAGCATGACAGCAGCGCAATGGCACACCATGACAGCAGCGCAATGGCACAACATGACAGCAGCGCAATGGCACAGCATGACAGCAGCGCAATGGCACAACATGACAGCAGCGCAATGGCACAGCATGACAGCAGCGCAATGGCACAACATGACAGCAGCGCAATGGCACAACATGACAGCAGCGCAATGGCACAACATGACAGCAGCGCAATGGCACAGCATGACAGCAGCGCAATGGCACAACATGACAGCAGCGCAATGGCACAACATGACAGCAGCGCAATGGCACAGCATGACAGCAGCGCAATGGCACACCATGACAGCAGCGCAATGGCACAACATGACAGCAGCGCAATGGCACAGCATGACAGCAGCGCAATGGCACAGCATGACAGCAGTGCAATGGCACGGCCCACTCACATCCACATACGGCGCCATGGCTTCCCCCATCTCCCCTGCCACGTCAGCAATGCACCCCACCGCCATGCTGCGATCGTTGGGCGGGCGGGAGGCTTTCTGCACGAGGAGACGAGGGGGAAGAGGAGAAGCAGGAAAGACGAGGAGGGACATGAGGGGGTGAGGAAGTGAGGGGGCAGAGTGTGGAAGAGTGTGTGAGCACAGGAGCATTGGGTGGGAGGGCCAGGGCGGGGGGTGGCACCGTGAAGGTGAGGATGTCGGGCAGCAGCGAGTGGAACACCGGGGCGAAAGCGGCAGCGCCCACAGCCCTGGCGACGGCGGGCAGGAGGTCGACGGCGGCGTCCATGAGGTCCTCGTCGTGCTCCTCCTCTTCCTCCTCCTCCTCCGCCGCCTCCGTCAGCCCCGCCGCCCCCTCGCCGCCCGCCTCCGCATCACTCGCTGCCCGCTGGCACGCCAGCTCGTCCCTCAGGGCCGCTCGCACCGCCGCTACCAGCGGCTCCGCGTCTGCAGGGGAGGGCAGGGAAGGAGGGGCGCGTTCGGGAGAGCGAGGCAGGGGAAAGGAGGACGGCTGGAGACTGCGTTGAAAGTGGGGAGTTTCAGGAGCAGCAGGTGGCTGCACAGCAGACAGCACGCTGGCAGCATACAGCGCACGGCAAGAGCCTCTATCCTGGACTCACAAGGCGTCATGAGCGCATGGTTGGCGGCGTCAGCAGCCAGCAGCGCCTTGATGGTGTCCGCGGCGCACGTGAAGGCCTGCCCCACCACTGCACGCTCCTCCTCGTCGCGCATCGCCCCCATCCACACCTCCATCGCCGCGTCTGGGGGGGGGGAGGAAAGCGTAGGGAGGGAAGGCAGGGGGGACAGCAGGACCACGGGTATGGGTATGGTCGGACGTAAAGGACGGGTGAGCGGATAGAGAGAGAGAAAAGGGAGAGCAGACACGGGAGAGGGAATCAAGGTGGAAGAAAGAGGGGGCGAGTTGGGCGTCCGCGTGGCTCACCAAAGACATGCTTCGCCTCCGCACTGATGGGCTGATCGAGGTGTGGGGTGCAGCGAGCACAGCGGAGGGCCACGCAGCCACACATGCACATGGGTGCATGGAGCACACGGGGGATATGGTGGAGCACGCAGAAAGAGGGCGAGAACAGTTGAGTGCAATGGGTGGTGCATGCACGAGAGGACACGGGGGCACAAGGTAGATGGAGGCGGATGCAAACTGACATGGCAGCTTGGAGTGCGGCTGAGGGAGCTGTGCAATGAGGGCACAGCACGGCATGACGTGGCAATGACGGCACAGCACGGCATGACGTGGCAATGACGGCACAGCATGGCATGACGTGGCATGCGAGGACAGGTGGGGAGGAGGGACGGCACGGCGGCATGGAGTGCACATGGCGCTGCTGAGGGATGGGAGCACACCTGGCCCGGGGCGGATGGGAAGGCTTGCAGCGCCGCAGTCACCAGGTCTGGTGGGGGCAGGGGGTGGAGAGGCAGGAGAGTGCTGTGGGTGGAGAGACAGGAGAGTGCTGTGGGTGGAGAGACAGGAGAGTGCAGTGGGTGATGCCGTGAAAGCAGAAAGACAGGATCAGTTGAGCTTGCAGGCTGCAGGCTGCATGCTGGGTGTTGAGCTCTGGGTGCTGCATGCTGGGTGTTGAGCTCTGGGTGCTGCATGCTGGGTGTTGAGCTCTGGGTGCTGCATGCTGGGTGTTGAGCTCTGGGTGCTGCATGTTTGGGTGGTGGGTGATGGGCGGTGGGTGGTGGGCGGTGGGTGGTGGGCGGTGGCACGCACGTTGCAGGGAGAGCGTGGCCTGCAGGCGCACGTCCTCGTGGGCGTAGTCGGCGGCGTCCTTGAGCACACTCACCGCCTCCTGCACGTACCTGGGGGGTGCGGTGGGGAGGAAGGGGCAGGGTGTACAGGTGAATCACGGCACGCCAGTGCCGCTTGATTCATCCACAACAACCACGTTCTGCTCTTAGCTTCCGACAGCACTCCATGGCGTGCGGTGCCATCATGTCCAGCCGCAGCAGGAACACCGCAGCATGCCATCATGTCCAGCATGCCCCCAACACAGCAAACAGTCCTGGCGCACTCACGCTCCGAACGCGGCCTTTGTGTACTGCGCATATGCGCCGATGGCCTGTGCGGCGGCCGCCTTCTCGTCCAGCACGGCGGTGCGCACGCTGATGCCCCTCAGCCCCCGCAGCGTCGCGCCCTCCTCCTCGTCCTCCGAGTCCGACGATATCTCCCCCCCGGCCAGTGCCGCCGCTAGCTGCTGCCGCCCGCCGCCCTCCGCGTCGGCTGCCTCGTCCGCGTCGTGTGGGCCGACAACAATGCCGTCGTCCAGACGGCAGGAGGAGAAGGCGAGCGGCACGACGTGGGGGAGGAACTGACCGAGGCATGCGCGGGAGGGCGGAGGGAGGGGGGGAGGGAAGAGGGAGGGAGAGGACCTGTGAGCGCAAGGGATCTGAGAAGGAGGCAGAGGGCTCGGAGAAGGGGGTGGGCATGACGACAGCAGCAAGGAGAGCACGCTGGCGCGCAAAAAGAGGCACGTCGCCGTGAGTAGAGAAATAAGCAGCAGGGAGTCCGAGGGCTCACCGGGGCGAAGTCGGCCTCAAGGAACTTGGCGACGTCGCTGAAGAAGCTGTGCGCGTACTCCCTCAGCGCGCTCTGGTCCAGCTGAAAGCCCTGCAATGAGGCATGCGACATGCGCCACAGGAGATCATGCACGAGAAGCATCAGGGTACATGTGGCATGATAACGTGGCAGCGAGAGGGTCTAAGGCTGCTGGGAAAAGACCATACTGCTGGCTTCACTGACGTCCCCCTCCAGCCCAAGTGAGTTATGGAACGACTTAAGAGGCAGCCCAGCGCCCCATGCCCACCTTGAGCGCGGCGTCCATGAAGCCCGGCAGCACGGCCTGCACGGCCTGCCGCCCCACGGCGATGCCGATGATGCCCACCAGCTCGTACGACCGCGCGCGCACGTCCACGTCCGCCTCCGCCGTCAGCGAGACGAGGGGGATGAGCGCCGCCAGCACCGCATCCGTATATGGCGCGAACTTGGGACCCGCCGCCGCTGCTGCTGACCCTATGGCGGACTGGAAGTTAAAGGGGCGGCAGGGGGGGCGTGATTAGGGGTTGGGGGGGCACGTGACAGGGATCATGAGAAAACGAAGGATGCATGGATGCCTGAGGTGTAATTATCTCCGAAAGCTCAAAGACTACCCACACAAACATCACAACACCAAACACACACCATGCAACCAGGGCCGCGCCCCATGGACTCACGATGCACATCTCCTGCAGGTTGCGGTCGGGCGAGCGCAGGGCGTCCATGAGCTGGCGCATGAGCGGGTCCAGGAACTCCAGGATCTCGTCGCCCATGTGCTCGCAGAACGCTGCTAGCGCGTAGTACGCCTTCTCCTGAGGGGGAGCGAGGGGGGCGGGGGGACGGACCAAGGGAAGAGGCAGGCGATGGAGGGGGAGAGGAGGAACGAAGCAGGTGTGGAGGGAGAGTGGCTTGCATGGGAGCGTGACGTGCATGTCACGGAACGCTCAGGTATACCTCCTCCCCCCCCACCCACGCACCCTGACCACGGGATCGGCGTCGTTGAGGGCGGCGAAGACAGCGGGCAGGATGGTCTTGTAGTGCTCGGAGGCCTCGGGCTGCACGAACTCCGCGAGCTGCCCCACGGCGAAGCACGCCGCCCCCCGCACCTTGGGGTGCGCATCGCCCAGCCCCGCCACCACCAGCGGCAGCACGTCCGACTCCAGTCGCCCCCGCACCGCCTCACTGAAGTGAGAAGAACGAGGAGGAGAATGAGGGGGAGAGGAGGAGGGGGGTGGAGGGAAGGAGGGTGGAGAATGTGGGAGGAGTTGAGAGCAGCAGGTGGAACGGTGCAGGAGCGAGGCAGAGAGAGCAGCAGGAAGGATGGAGGCGGATATGGGTGATGGGAGGAAGGGGGAAGAGGGACATCAGGGTGCTGCTCATGGGATGGTGCCTGTTATGTGAAAGCGCTGTCACCGCTGAGCTCCTCCATTCTCCCTGTCACCCCTCGCCGCAATGAGCTCATTGCACGTCTTGGCTCACCAGCACCCCTCAGTGATGACGGCCATGGCCATGACAGCGGCGTAGCGCATGTGGTGGCTGGGGTCCGTGATGTGCGCGCGTGCAAACGCCAGCACGGGCGGAAACACGTGCTTGCGGGGCGCCTCCATGGCCACCGCGTCTATGGCCTGGGGGATGCGCACAGGCGGTTGAGAGAGGTGCGTGAGGAGGGAGATAAGGGGCAGGGAGAGAAGTGGAGATGGAGAGAGAAAAGTCAGAGGCAGGGGGCCAGCATCGTGGCATGCACACGTGGCATCCATCTACCACCTTCCCTCTGCTCTCACCGCCCTGCTCACACCACTCACCGCCCTGCTCACACCACTCACCGCCCTGCTCACACCACTCACCGCCCTGCACACACGACTCACCTCCTCCTCCACTCATCCGCGCACCACCTCCCACCGAACTCACCCCATTTTCCCAACACGTGGCAGCTGCCTGAGAATCACATGCCGCCCATCCCAGCATCACATGCCGCCCACCCCAGCATCACATGCCGCCCATCCCAGCACCACATGCCGCCCACCCCAGCATCACATGCCGCCCATCCCAGCACCACATGCCGCCCATCCCAGCATCACATGCCGCCCATCCCAGCATCACATGCCGCCCATCCCAGCACCACATGCCGCCCATCCCAGCATCACATGCCGCCCACCCCAGCATCACATGCCGCCCATCCCAGCATCACATGCCGCCCATCCCAGCACCACATGCCGCCCATCCCAGCATCACATGCCGCCCATCCCAGCATCACATGCCGCCCATCCCAGCACCACATGCCGCCCATCCCAGCATCACATGCCGCCCATCCCAGCATCACATGCCGCCCCATCCCAGCATCACATGCCGCCCATCCCAGCACCACATGCCGCCCCATCCCAGCATCACATGCCGCCCATCCCAGCACCACATGCCGCCCCATCCCGGCACCACATGCCGCCCCATCCCAGCATCACATGCCGCCCCATCCCAGCACCACATGGTGCCCATCCCAGCACCACATGGTGCCCATCCCAGCACCACATGCCGCCCCATCCCAGCACCACATGGTGCCCACCTGGGCGGCGAAGCGCATGGGCGAGAGCTCGTACTCCTCGTCCTGCTCCGAGTCCGTGGCGCCGCAGGGCTCGGCCAGCAGCGGCGCCATGGCGGCGAGAATGACGGGGATGAGCTTCTGCTTCGCCAACCACTTGGCCTTCCACGCCGCGCACCACGCCACCACCTGGGCCGCCTGCACGCGCAGGGAGAGGGGGGCACACGGGAAGACTTGTAGCCACGGCGTTGTGCGCTTTGCTCTAACCATGTGAGGAATGACTTTCTTTCAAGCTGGTGCGTTGACCCTTCTGCTTGGTGCGCGTTGCCGTTCATGCTGCTTCATGTCATCGTCCGCGTCGCACTGCCACCCACCTGGAAGCGCGTGGCGGGTTCGAGGTGCGTGTTGGAGGCGAGCTCGAGCGCGAACTGCACGACGGCGGGGAGCGAGGGCGCGATGACGGGCGCGGGGTGCTCCGACAGCTCCGTCACGATCTCGCACACGCGCACCACCGTCGCCTCGTCGCCGCTGCCCGCTGAAAACCGCCCCACGTCCAGCATTGGCGCCACTAGGTCGCGCATCAGCGCCTGGCGGCATGGGGGGGAAGGGGAGTGGGGGAAGGAGGGAGGGGGTTGTTTGTTTGGAATGGGAGGAAAGCAAAGGCGAAGAGGCTGAGGGGGTGAGGGCCGAAGGGGATGGGGAAGAGAAGAAAGAATGGAGAAGGAGCAGCACAATGACTTGCCATTGCCATGTACAGTGCATGCGGCATGCATGTGGTATGCGCTGTGGCCGGGCGCGGCACTCACCACGTCCTGCTCGCTGTCCAGGTACTCCACCAGCGCCGCCACGGCCCTGCGCACCACCACGCGCACGCAGCACGGAGTTTGAAAGAGTGCGTGCGCCACAGTTCATGACCGGGGGGGGAAGAGTGCGCGCGCCACAGTTCATGACCGGGGGGGGAAGAGTGCGCGCGCCACAGCTCATGACCGGGGGGGGAAAGAGGGCGTGGGAACAACGGCAGGCAAGCACCCATGTGAGACGGGCAGGCAATGCGGGGCAGGCAATGATGCGGGGCGGGCGGCGCACTGACTTGAGCGCGGCGACGCGCACGCGGGCGCTAGCCTGGTCGCGCAGGCCGGCGACGAAGATGCCGTGCAGCGCGGGGAAGTGCGGCCGCAGCACGTCGCCGATCGTCTCGACCAGCGCCGCGAACAGAATGAACGCCAGCTACGGGGGGGAGGGAGGAGAGGGGTGTGGGGAGAAGGGGCGGAGAGCGGATGCGGGTAAGGGGAAGGTTGCAGGTGACGGGCGCAAGAGTGCGAGGGAATCAATGCGGAGGAATCGCAGGACGTGGTTGACGAAGTGAGGTGGCTGGTGTGGGTGCTCACCTCGCGGTGGTCCTCCTGCTGCCCCTGCTCACCTCGCGGTGGTCCTCCTGCTGCCCCTGCGAGCACTGCAGCAGGAACGGCAGCAGCTCCGGCCACTCGCCATTCGGCACGCTGTGCTTCGCGATCACGCTCGCCACGTCGGCACTCGCGCGACGCACCACGGGGCTGCAGAATGCGCGACACGACACGGGAGTGAGGAATGCGCGGTCAAGCGGCAGGCGAGGGGTGCGAAAGAGGGGATCCGGAGAGCAATCTGGGATGACCTCCGTCTACGAGGCGACATTCAGCCTCACACTTCACTGCTCGGCAGCTCCGAGACTCGATCCCTAGATCGCCACCTTCGCCTAGCCCGATACCATGAGTCGCGCCCTCTACCCTACCCGTGAGTTCGCTACTCCTTCCACCTCGCGCTCCTGGGCGCCAATTGCACGGCCACAGCGCGACGGCGCGCACGGCGCACCTGGGCTCGAGCGCGATGCTCTCGAGGAGCGCGGACTTGATGCTGGCCTTGGCCTCCGCGGACTGCTGCGCCCACAGCCCCGCCACCTTCTTGCGCATGAGCACGGCCGCCAGCTGGCGCACGTCGGGCGCGGGGCCCGCCTTGAGGAAGTGCAGCAGCGCGAGCAGCACGGCGGGGTCCTTGGACTGCTGCTTGAACGCCGCCTCCGCCGCCTTGCGCGACTCGTTGTCCGCCAGCAGCAGCTGCTGCAGCACCGCCGCCAGCTGATCCATGGCCGCGGATCGCGGATTCGGGGACGGCGACGAGAGGTGTTTCGCGTGAAAGAAAGGCGGCGGCGTGCGTCCGCGCGGGCTTAGTTGCCAAGTTGCCAATGCGTGCCTGCCTTGATTTTCAGCGCGGGTGGGATTCAGAAAAGAGAGTCGACTGAAGCAGACAAGGTGAATTTGGGTGCTCTTGCTTCCAGAGCCCCCGGCCTTGGGAACTCCGGAGCGCGGAAAGAATTCGTGGCTCGGAGGAATCGTGGGCTTGAATTACGCCGGTTCGCAGCCAGTTACAACAGACCTGGCGAAACGCGACCCCAGCACCCCAACCCCATGCCCATGTTCCCATGGCGTCGATGGATGTGCCATGCCATACCACGCTGCAGTGGTGTGTGTGATGCAGGGCCTATTTTTCAAGGGCTGCTGCCCTGAAATTGAGTCAAATAAAGGGTAGTTTTTCAGCTGGCCCCACAAATTAAGGGTTGGATTTTTATGAACCCAGAGGATTAAGGTTTTATAATGATTGTAACCCTTGAGATTAAAAGTATATTTGTTTCCTACCCTGAGTGTACTACTAGTGCTGGTAGGGCTACAGGGGGGATCTCCTTAAGGGGAACAACTCCCTTAGAAGATTTTCGTTGTTCTCCCCTCACAGCACGTACTCACACCAACTGACTGAGGGGAGATACCTCAGAAGGTTTTCGACCTTCTCCCCTCACAGCACGTTACTCACACCTTGTCACCAACAGAGGGGAGACAACTCCCTTCGTATATTTTTGTTCTTCTTCCCTCACAGCACGTTTCTCACACCTCGTAGTCACCAACAGATGGGAGACAACTCCCTTAGTAGATTTTCGTTCTTCTCCCCTCACAGCACGTTACTCACACCTCGTTGTCACAAATAGAGAGGAGACAACTCACTTTGTGGATTTTCGTCATTCTCCCCTCACAGCCCTGTGCACGTTACTCACGCCCTTTTCATCTTGTCCATACATATCCTGATAGATTCTAACCGTTGCAGTAAAAAGGGTACTGTGCGAACGAACCCTGATGATTAAGGGTTGCCTTCCGTTGGACCCTAAACATTAAGGGTAAACTTTTAAAGAGCCCAATTTTTTAAGGGTGACTAAAAACCAAAAGTAAGCCCTGGTGTGATGTGATGCCATTCCACGGGTCCAGCGAAGATGCTGTGCCCCGCCACCGATTCCTCCTTTTTGGGCTTCGTCTCTAACAGGAGGGTCGCAGGTGCTGTGAAAATGAGCGAGAGAATTTCGTGCTACATTCTAGTAATGTAGAAACATTATGACGGCAACTCTAATACATAGTGACTGTCACATATAAAAAATCAAGCTTAATGAAGGGCAAGCAGCACCCCACAGTGATGCTTACTGAAAGAGCAGGTTACTCACAAACCTAATGCAAACCCGACCAATACGCCACGGCAAGCACCCGCCATCAGCGTTTGTGGATGAACTTCACTTTGAGCAGAAACTCCAACTGGATCTGCCGCATTTTCACACAATGGAGCAGCAATTGCGGATGGGTGGCTTAGCTGTGGTAATCTGAACTTATAATAGTATAACATTTTTTGGCTAAAGGTTGTACACAATACCTGTGATGTGTCGTAGACAATGAACTCATTGTAGCGCAGCTGGCTGTTCTTGACCCCAGATGGCACGGGCTTGCCGCATGGCACGACGACATCGGAGGCCCACTTAACAAACTCGTCCTCCTTGGGCTTCATCATCCCCAGCCCCTTGGTTGCATGCTTGCCCCGCGGCAGCTTCTCTATGTACTGCAAACGAGGGATGGGGCATGAGGAGGAGAGGGAGAAGAATTAATTATAGGGAGCAATGTGATAGAAACCGCAGGAGCAGGAGGCGACAACCATGAGTTTGAGGTTAGTATTAGGTGTCAGAGATTCTGCCACTAGCTGTCATTAGCTTTCACTTGCTGTCCAGGTGTGCTCTATGTGGCTTTGAGGTTAGTTCTCAGTGTCTGAGATGCTGTCATTAGCTGTCACTGTCAACTTATACATATGTTGTTATGTTGAAGTTATAGACTAGATAGGTGTATGTTCTTAGAGGGTACAGCCCCAACACTATATCTCCCTTGTTCTCTCTTGTTTCAATTCATTCTAGTACTCTAACAGTCACGAACTGTCCAGGTGCACTCTATGTCTCTGAGGTCGGCTCTGTGGGTTTGTGCACTCTATGGTGATGGAGGGTGATGGAGGGTGATGGGTCTTCCCTATTCCCCAGGTTTTGGCGAAAGGTTTTGTGGAATGGTTTTGGCAAATTCTTTTAACGAATGGTTTTGACGAAAGGTTTTGGCGAAAGGTTTGGCGAAAGGTTTTGGCGAATGTAAGATGCTAGTGCTTGTTTTAATGCACCGCTAGTCAGAAGGGCAGTGCTGGCAGCACTGGGAGCGGGAGCATGCAGGTCTGACCTGCGCAGCGGTGAGTTCATGCAGGGCACCCAGCACTGACCTCGGCTTGGGTGAGTTCATGCAGGGCACCCAGCGCCACCCGGGAGAGCAGCAGCAGGCCCACGCTGCTGTCAGCGCTGGTGAAGCAGTACTGCGCGCTCTTGCTCACCAGGTCCGCGAAGTACACGCCCTTGCCAAACTGACACAGAAGGGGGGGATGGATGAGCGACGAGAATTTGTGAAGGAACATGGCACAAGGGCACGCGGGGGGAACATGGCACAAGGGCACGCGGGGGGAACATGGTACAAAGGCACGCGGGGCGAACATGGCACAAGGGCACGCGGGGGGAACATGCAATGCAAGGCAACCTTCCAGCCGTGCCAGCACAGTCGCGCATGGCATGGCTCTGGTGTGTACCATGTAGCCAGTGACAGGTGCCTCTGGCGGTGCAATGCGCAGCCCCTGACTCAAGATGCCCACAAAGTTGGTCACTCGCGAGCCTGAGGGGGGGCGGATGATGGAAAACAAGAGATGGGCGAGCAGGGCACCAAGAGGTGAACGGAATGACATGTCACTACACATGCGTTCTGAGAACCTGCTTGAAGTATTATGAGCATACCGTGCCACAGCAGCATGTGCACCATACCGTGCCACAGCAGCATGTGGTTCTTGAGGTCGGCACGGAAGGCCTGTCTCTCCCCGCTGCGATCCACTCGAAACACGTCCAGCAGCTGCAGGTCCCACTCCTGCACATACACGGGGGGGGGGGGGGGGGATGGGGGTGTTTGGGGGTGCATGGGGTGCATGGGGTTGCATGGGGCATGCATGGGGGTGCAAGGGCGTGCATGGGGGTGCAAGGGGTTGAACTGGGGTGCAGAGGGATGGGCGCATGCAGGGTCCATGAGGATGCATGGGGAATGGTTTTGACTAATGGATTTGGCGAATGGTTTTGGCCAATGGTTTTGACGAATGGTTTCGGTGAACAGTTTTGGCGAAAGGTTTTGGCGAATGGTTTTGGCGTTTGGAAATGATGTTTGGTTTTGGCCAATGGTTTGACGAATGGTTTTGACAAATGCTTTGGCGAATGGTTTTGGCTGATGGTTTTGGCAAAAGGTTGTGCCGAATGTTTTGGGCGGATGGTTTTGATGAAAGGTTTTGGCGAATGGTTAAGGCAAATGGTTTTGGCCAATGGTTTTGGCAAATGCCTTTGGGGAATGGTTTTGGCGAAAGGTTTTGGAGAATGGTTTTTGTGGATGGTTTTGGCAAATGGTTTAGGCGAAAGGTTTTGGCGAAAGGTTTTGGCGAAAGGTTTTTGCGAAGGTTTTGGCGAAAGATTTTTACGAATGGTTTTGGCGAATGGTTTTGGTGAAAGGTTTTGGCGCAAGGTTTGGCGAAAGGTTTTGGCGAAGGTTTTGGCGAAAGTTTTTGGTGTTGGCGAATGGTTTTGGTGAAAGGTGTTGGCAAAAGGTTTTGGCGAAAGGTTTTGGCAAATAGTTTTGGCGAATGGTTTTGGCGAATGGTTTTGACGAAAGGTTTTGGCAAAAGGTTTTGGCGAATTGTTTTGGCAAATGGTTTTGGCGAATGGTTTTGGCGAAATGGTTTGGTGGCAAATGGTTTTGGCGAATGTTTTTGGCGAATGGTTTGGGGAATGGTTTTGGCAAAAGGGGCGAAATGTTATGGCGAATGGTTTTGGCGAATGTCTTGGCGAATGGCTTAGGCGAATGGTTTTGGCAAATGGTTTTGAGGAATGGTTGTGGCAAGCAAATGATAAATCCATGAGGCGTGTTGCGAGAGGGCTGGGGGACAAGGGTGATGTGTGTGCCTTGGACACACCTTGTGCGTGGGCGCATGTGTCCTTTGCAGGTATTCGCTGACGAGGGAGTAATCGGCGTCACTGCGCTCCAGGGGCTTGAGGCCGCACTGCAGCTGGCGGTAGTGCCCGTCCACCGGGTCCTCATCCTCATCGGCCCCTCCCCCCGCCCCGCGGCTCGCACTGAGCAGCGTGGACGTCACCTCCATGTCCCTCAAAGCCTCCAGCATGCGGATCTGCGGGGCACACGGCAGGACGAAGGCGGCCTCAGCACATGCAATGCGCCCGCCTATCCACAACGCACTGCTTCATGCAACCGCCACGAGGCACACGCACCTTGGTGGAGAGCGCCTGGAGCGTGCGGATGGCGGCGGGGTTGACGGTGGGGATGAGCGTGAAGAAGCGGTTGGACGCGTCCACGATGGCGCTCTCCCGCCGCCCCGTGCTGTCCTCGGGCAGCTGCAGCGCCGCCTGCACGTCCGTGAGCACCTGGAAGCCGCGCTCTATGTGGCGCTTGGTGAGCTTGCCCAATGGCATCTCCCTCACGTTGATCTCAAACTCCACCATCGCCTCCCTGCATGCGCACAAGGGAATGCAGGGACATGAGTGTGAGAGGGAATTTAGGTTTGGCAGTGAGACATGAGATAAGATGTAACATGGCTTTGGAGTACATGCGGGATCAGCAGTACAGCCAACCTGATGGACTTGAGGTCGAATATCATCATGAGCAGCGCCACCAGTCTGCCATCCAGCTTGCTCCTTGTGCCCATCACCGCCCCGCCCTGCCCCCCATCGTCGTCCGTGGCACCATAGTCCTGCGCGGTGGGGGGCAGAGACGAGGTGCAGGGAGACAGGGCGTTGCATCTGCTGAATGCTATTGTGCGCCGATGATTGCCCACGTAATGATAAAGTAGGCGCTACAACAGCATTGCAGCTGCCTGTACCGCTGCTGCGGCAAACCATGCTACAATGGCAACTCAAGTTGTTGACGTCAGCCACTCACAATCTCAAGAGGGTAGAACTTTCCCGGCTGCTTCTGGAAGCCTGTCTTGGCCTGCCACGCGTCCCAGTCGTTGCCTGTCTTCTCCTTGAACAGCCGTCTGAACAGCGCCACCGCCTGCTCGCGCCCTGCCCCCTCCACCTTGCTGCCCCCGATGCTGTCGCTGCCCACGCGCCCCCACTTGCGGAACACATGGCATGCGGGCGACTTGTCGTCCTCTATGATCTGCAGGATGTAGTAGCTGCCGGGGGGGGGGGAGAAGGAAAGGCGGAGGGTGGTGACAGAAGAGAAGAGGTGTTGGTTGATCGGGCGGGAAGGGGGTGTAGAGGAGAGAAGGAGGGGGTACTAGACGACAGTGTTTGCTGATAGAAATAAGCGCACCTGTTGGCGCCCGTGGAGAGGTCGGAGAGGTTGAGAGTGGTGCTCCACACGGTGCCGTCGCAGTCCAGCACGTGCCCGCTCTCCCCCAGCCCCGACGCCTCATGCACCGCTGCCCGACCCTTCACCCGCACTGACCGCACCCGCTCCTCCCCCTCGCCACTCCTCTCCTTGCCCTTCTTACCCTTGCTCTCCCTGCCAGCACCACTGGCAGCAGCAGCAGCAGCGGCAGGTGGGGCAGCATCCGCCTGCTGCTGCAGGTGCGGGGCGAGTGGCAGCAGGTACGGTGCGCGCATGGGCAGGCGGCGGCACTGAGAGAGAGAGTCGAGAAGATAGGCCTCCGAGAGGAGTGGTGCTCCAAGCGTGCTGGGGGAGCGGGAAGGAAGGAGTCGGACAGCAAGGAGCATGAAGGGCGGATGGGGATGCGAAGAGATTGGGGACCGTGAAAGAACGGATGGACCCACAAGGACATGAGTAGGAGTGTGAGGAGTACAGAGGAAAGGAGACTGCAAGCAGGCAGGATGGTCACATGGAGGGCAGGAGTGAGCGGTGAGCGGTGAGGAGAGGGCAGAGGCGGGGGGCAGAGCAGCAGAGCAGGTTGACCCACATGGCTGGGACGAGCTTGTCTTGGCTCCTTGCTGCCTCTGCCTCGGTGGCCACCACGCAATCCACGGCTGACGCAAGCAGGGCGGGCATGGAAGGAGCAGCGCATGTAGGAGCAGAAAGGGAGTAGGGGAGAGGAAGTGAGATAAATGTCATGATCACTCAGCAAACGGAAACGTGAGCCTGCTGCCTCTGGAAAGTGCTACTCATAAACTCATTAACTCCCTTGAACCAGCGTGCATGGGCTCCAGAGCCTCTCACCCGCGCTGCTTAGGGCAGCCACTGAGCCTCCGCCCTCCTCTATCTCCTTCCGCCACGCTGCCTGACTGCGGGACAGCCGCCCCAGCAACGCCACATGCAATCCCTCCAGCGGCTTGTCCTGCGCCACCCCCCCGTCAGGTATTGCTGCCTCCCGCGCCTCCCTTGCCGCCCTCCCATTGCCCCCCTCCTTCCCGCCCTCCCCTGCGCTATTCCCCTTCTTAACCTCACTGCGCTTCTCCTCTGGCGGCAACAGCCGCTGCGGCCACAGGCCCTCCCCATCCTCCCCGGCCTTGCTACCCTCCGCCTTCCCCTTCCCCTTGCCCCTCCCCTTGCTCTTGCCCTTGTCTCCCGCCTTCAACCGCCGCCGCTGCTGCGCTCGGTACTCCTGACGATGTTAGGGCACACAAGAAACAAGGCAGTGAGCCCAGGAGAGAAGGCACCGCATGCGCAGGGGATAGGGGAGCACGGATGACAGCGAGACAGCAAGTGTGAGTTTGAAACCAACCAGCATCGCCATGTGATTGAAGGAAACAATGAAGCCAATCCACCACTGCTGCCTGCATCACTCACGTCAGCAAACGGGTTGCTGATGTCGTCTGGGATGGTCCACGGCTCTTCCCTGCGCTGCACCTCCCGCGTGCTGTAACTGCAGGCGGACCACGCAGAGAGGAACCCCCGGCAGCGGTACTGTCCATCCCAGTACTCAAGGGGCGAGGAGCAGAGTGGGCAGGGCGGCAGCGGGCCGAAGAGCATGGCGTCCGCACAGCGGTCCCTGAGAGCGTCCTCACTGCCAGTGGCGTCCTGCTGGTTGGCGGTGAGCATGGCACGCATGTCCGCCACACTCATGTGCGTCCGCAGCTTGTCCTTCACCTCCCACAGCCGCCTCGCCTGCTGCTCCAACGCTTTCTCCAACTCCTTGCTCATCCCCGCCTCACCTGCCTTACCCTTCTCCCTCCCTTCCTCCGCCCCCCCTTTGCCCTTCTCTCCCATCCCCCCCTCCTCCTTCCCCTTCTTGTTCCGCCTGCTTCCCTCTTCCTTCCCCTCTTCGCCTCCCCCATCCTGCTCTGCCAGCCTCTGCCGCTTCTTGGGGGGCTCTGAAGGGCGGTACAGGGTGGAGGAGGAGGGGTGTGGATTTGAATGAGGCGTGTTAAAGAACAAAAGAACAACAGCCCACAGTGCTTCTGCGTCCCTCCTTCTGCACGTGCCTCCTGCCCACCCATTCTGACCAACCCTCCACGCTACTTGCATCCCCGTCCCAGGTATGCTCACCTGCCTCCTTGCCTTTGCCTTTCCCTTTGGCCTGGCCTCCCAGCATCGCCTGCAGCGTCGCTTGGTCCTCCTTCCTCAGCGCATCCCACCCCTCCACCCCCTGCACACTCGCCCCCGGCGGCCAGATGCCCTCCTCCCCAACACATGCCGCATGCCGCCATGCCACCACCTCCACTCCTCGGCTTGACGGCTCCATCCGGCCCACCCGCAGCTGAGGTTCATTCAAGGACAGAAAGAGGGGAGGGGGGGGGGAGAAGGGGATGCCCAGGCGGGGACGACTTCGGAGACAATGGGGTGGGAAGGCTTTCTGGGAACACCTCGCAATCAAGGGACAACGGAAGCATAGCCTGCAGAGTGTGAGGGAGGTAGGAGCATACCTGGCCCTTGGGGATCTTCTCAGTGCAATGCCTGCACGCCGACCCATTGCTCGCAGCATACGCCACCTGAAACCCGTGCACCCCCGCTGCTGCTCCCTCCAAATCCTCATCCCCTGCCCCCGCCTTCCTCCCTTTTGCCTTAGTCTTCCCCTCACTCTTCCCCTCCTCGCTCTTGCTCCCCCCAGCAGCCTTTCCCTTCGCCCCTTTACCCCCTGCTGCCCCCTGCGCCCCGCCTTCCCCCTTGGCATACGCCCTGAGCGCCTGCTGGTCCTCCCAGCGCAGCGCATCCACCCCCTCCACGTCGCCCACGCTGCCAGGGGGGAAGGGGATCACGTGCCCCAAAGGTCGTTACAGAGGTGAAAAGGGAGAGGTGGGGGGGGCATTGGTGGCAAGGACGAGGTCATGGGGGCTCACATGCAGTGGCGGCAGGAAAGCTCGGTTGGGGAAGAGATAGAGGTAGCAGAGAGAGGATGGGAGCATGGAGAGCAGGGGGTGCAAGGGTGCAGGCGGGAGCACTGACTTGGTGATGAATCCCGGCGCCTTGAAGACACAGCGCGAGTGGAACCAGAGCTGGGAGGCGGGCATGGTAGGGGAGAGGGCCATAACAGTACCGGGGGGGAACGAGAGGGTGGGACGAAAGAGGAACGGGGGGAGCACCAGAGCTGAACAAGGCGACGACAGGAAGAAGGCGTGACGGGAGGAGACAGCGTGGTAGCTGGTGAGGAAAAAAGGAGAAGGTGCGAGCAGTGTGTGCGGAATGGTAGGGGAGAAACTTTGAGAAGCTGGACGCGGAGGGAAGGAAGATACGCTTGTGATTGCGGGAATAAAAAAAGAGGGAGAGGATGGATGCAGGACGGCTGGGAGGAAGGGCGGAGGAAAAACGAAAACAGCTGCATTTCCGTTTGCCGTGTACTGTTCATTGCCATGAATCGATCCGACTGCCATGAATCCTAGAGCCTGTACAGTCGTGACTGTTGAAGCCGTAGTCATAAGTCGTAGTCTTAGAGCCTATAGAATCTTGAAGCCTGCAGCCATGCATCTTTAGGCCATCAGCATTATGATTCCCGAAGTCGTTAGCATATGAATCATGAAGCCGCTAGCATATGAATCACGAAGCCGTTAGCATGTGAGCAGATGTTTTTGCGCCATCAGCGCATGAATCCGGCACCCCTTAGCGTACAATCTTGAAGTAATTAGCGTCCGAATCCGGAAACCATAGCGTATGATCATGCATCCAGTAGCTTAGCGTCTTGGCGTCACTAGCGTATGAAGCCGGAAACGATAAGCGTACATCATGAATCCAATACTTTTAGTCTTGACGTTATTGGCGCATGAATCCTGAAGCCAATACCGTCATCATAAATCATGACCCCGTCATTACGATCAAGTAACCGATAAGTAATTATTGTCATGAACCTGACATTACATCTCTGTCGGATGTCATTTGAGTCATTATCGTCATGAACCCGTTAGAACGTTACAGTCATGTAACAGTCGAGTTTACCGTCATGAATCCGTCGAACTGTTTCGACTCCACCACTTTCGCGATGCGGAACGCGTCTTTGCCGATGTTCTCCTTGCACTTCCGGCAGCTCGCCCGCCCGGACTTGGCGTACTCCGCCTTGAACGGCTTCGGCTTCGCGCGTTCCTCGCCGTCCGCCATGGCGACGGCCTGTGAAGCACGCAAGTGCGGAGCGTTTGTGTGGCTGTGGGAGAAAATGGCGCGAAAATAGCAGAACCGGGGAGTGAGGTCTGACAGGAGGTGTGACCAGAGCCCAGAATTTGCCGTACGTGGTACTGACTCTCGCGCTGCATTTCATGAATAACAACAGCAGACCGTTTACGGCTTAGTACATTTTGTTGAGAAATACCTAGGCCATATGTTTGGAGCTTGAGAAGGGATGTGCGATGCACAAGTTCAGCGTTTTGCATAGGATAAAGCGTGATGCAGCGTGTTTGAGGCTCGAAAATGCACAGATTTACCACACGTTTGGCAAGAGTCGATTCAAGAAAAAGCAATTTCGAAGTGTTTGAAATAAAACTAAGTGTGTTCGTATCGCGAAGTGTTTGTTCCACTAGCTACATCCCAAAATAACAGGACCAGAAATACGGAGTAGGTATACAGTAGGTACGACATAGGTAGGTACGTGTGCTACGGAGTAGCCTTGCTGTATGAACAACTATACCTACAATATACGGTATGTGGGATTCACATTTTTGTGACGTACAAAAGCATAGTCCGTTGCAGCCCAATAAGAGCAAAAGAATTTATGAAGCTCGTTCCTCGTCTATTCCCAGTAGGAGCCTGGGCTTATCTTCGATTTTTCAAAACTCTGATTTTCACCAATACCTCATAGGCCAACTCCAGGGCCTCAGATTCGTTTAGAAGTACCCTGATCAATCAGCCATCCCCCCCTACTTTCCCCTGATATGTCAGTGTTGATTGTTAAAAAAAAACTGTTTCTTCAGTGTTAAAAGGGAAAAAAACTCTGATGATTCAGTGTTTACTCTGAAATTTACGCTGAAATGAAAAAAACACATTTAATCAACCACAATTACACATCGTTGACAGGGCTCTCCATGGCTGCTGCTGCTGTCTCTTCCTGCTCTCCCTCAGCATTCACATCATCGTCCATGTTCTCTTTTCCTTTCTTGCTCGCCGTGCTCACTTTGACCGTGCCGAAGGGGCGTCTCTTCTTATACGCCCGCCAAATCTCTACTACAGCGTCCCAATCCGGCGAGTAGTCTAACAGGGACAAGCACATGAGATCACCTAGCCTAGTGTCCTTCAGGCTATTCCTCAGCCAGCTCTTGATCACGTTCTGGCGGGAGAATCCACGTTCACACTCAAAGGTGCTCAGAGGCAGCACCCCCACAGCCACCCACAGACCCAGAAGGTTGGGATACTGGTCCTTTAAGGCAGCGGTCTTCAGCACAAATGACAGCGCAGCATGAAACTTCTTGTCACTCTTCGGGAGACGAGCAAGCATGGGGGCGAAGTGTCGCAGCTCTTTTATCGCCAGGCGTTTGTCAATGCCTGAAACACATTTAGACACGGACGATTAGGGATAGTTAGTTCGTTAGAAGGTTGGAAAGACGAGAAAACAAGCCACAAACGAAAGCATAAGGCAATAGGTTATAACAAACATTGCACCTGGCAGAATTTCGTCGGCATCCTCCGCGCGAAACAGAGTGACGAGTGATTGGAACCACTCGACACACTGAGCCAGCCTCGCTTCCCGCTCCCATTTCTCTGGCCACTGGTCGGCAGAGAAAAGGCGAACGCCGCTCAAGGAATCCAGATCTCCAAGACGCTCCTGCAGGTTCCTGGCCATGTCTTCGGCAACCTCGGTGCACACGTCGACGCAGCCATTGTGTGTACCCCGTCCTGGGTAGTCGTCCAGTTCGTTGAAATGAAGAGTTACAGTGAAGCGAGCAGGGCGGCCATCAGAATCCGCGCCCTCAACGATGACGTTGGGCGAACCGCCCGGGCCGTGACGGGTGATGAACTGCACAAGTCGGGTCTTCTCGCCGCCTCCGAAGTCGTCGCCGCAGTCGATGTACCGGCTCTCGATGAGGCCGGTTGTGTGCGCGATCTGCTGCTGGACGCTCGTGTAGTCCAGCTGTATGAATAGAGATGGGGAGACGGGTGAGTAGAGGAGGCAAGAGGACATGGTGGGCTGAATCACAAGTACTAACCTCACGCTGCTGAAAGATCTTGTTCAAGATGTTCAACTGCTCAAGAACATCAGCCAGAAAGTTCAGGAAGAACCAGAAGCGGTAACTAGTGGCGATGGCGTATAACTTGGGGTTGCGGAAACGGAACTCATACAGCATGACGACCACGGCAGGGAGAACAGCAAGAAGACGAAGGATAGCCTCACCGCGTGAAAGCCACCTGATGGCGTGAATACCCTGGAGCTCTAGGTTGGTTGAGGTGAAGAGCTCCTGAAGGTCGAGGAAGCGCTGATGCCAAGGCCCCGATCGCCCAAGAAGCTCGGCAAGCTGGCGGATGAGATCATCTACCATGGAGAGTGCGGGGATGTTCTCCGCTGCCGCCTTGACAGCTAGTGCCTCCCTACAAACATAAAATAACAAAAAGTGTAAGTATCGGTACATATATACAGTGCGAACAAACATGCATATAAAAAACCAAACTAATTACCGATGTGCGATGTAGTGGCACGACACCAGGTGGGGGATGTGGACGCGCAAGCGCGCTACAAGCCCCCCCTTAGCACCCATCATCACAGCTGCTCCGTCGGTGCTGATGCCTGAAATCCGACGCAGGTCAACCCCAATGGCACGGATGTGGGAGAGGAGGAGGGCAAGAAGCGATGCGGCATCAGCCTTCTCGACTGTCAGCAATGTGAGGAACTCAGTCACAAGTCTCCCTTGGCGGATGAACGTGGCAAACACAATCATGTGTTTGCCACGACAGCGGTCGGTGCTCTCGTCAAGGCTCAGGCCGATGAAGGGGCTTGTAAGAAGATGCTCAAGCTGAGTGGTTTGGAGCCAGGTTGCCATAGCTTGAGTAAACTGTCCAAAGCCATACCTGTAAAACAAGAGGCAAATCGATAAAATGAAATGACATATATAACAAGAGAGCGATACGGTGCAGCGAAACACAGAGGTAAATCGATGCTTACGAGTTGTAATACGTCCCGTATCCCTTCTCAGGGAAGCCCCTCGTCTTGCGTTCCGCCAAGTAGCGGACGAGATTGATCCAGGTTTCCATCGGCTCATTGCAGCGGCTGCTGAAGTGGAGCGCATCGCAAAGTGCAGTGATGTGCAGTTTCTCCAAGTCCTCTGCAAGCGGGTGCAGGTCGATCCTCTGCTGTTTCGTCGCCATCTGCAGCAGATCGTGTTGCTTCTTCTCGGCAAGTTGATGGCGACTCGTAGCAGCATGTCGCTTGAAGGCCTGGACTTGCACATCGGTTGCCCCTTTGCCACGCCTGCCTGTTTTGCCCTTCAAGCCTGCATGCTCGGTACAAAGACTGCACCTGAAGGCGGGCATGCCACAGTCAGTCTTTGTAAAAAGGAGCCAAGGGTATGAGCTCGACCAGCGTGAATTATACTTGTCTAGGGCCTCGCCGTATTGCTCGTCAATAGTCAAGTGCCTCTTACCGCCAGCCTTTCCTGGGAGGTCATCTTCTGCACCTTCGTCCTCTGACTCGGAAGACGAGGGCAGGTCGGGCAGATTGACAGGTGGCGCGAAGGGGAGTCGTGATTGCCGATACTTTCCTAAGCGCTTCGACGGGGTAGGCTCGGGCAGTCGATTGTCAACAGCAGAAGCGTCGCGTTGTGCAGCAGTCGATCCCGACGGCCCAGCGATAGGCGGGACAACAGCGTGCTTTCTGGCTCCCTGAGTTCCCTCAGGCAGCGATGTTGGCTCGTGGTCGGCAGGTCTGGGAGACGGGCCTTGAATACTACCTAAAGAAGCAAGGAGTAAGTCTAGGCCTGTGCGCATATCGCCTTCTAGGATGTGGCAATCATCGTCCTCTGTGGCGAGCTCGTTATCACCACCTGATTCTGCCATCACGCCACGGCAGAACCAGGCGTGATAAAATCAGTGGCGTAGCGGTTCTCCGACAACGCAGTAACAATTCTGGAAGAGGAACAAAGAGGCTGGTGAGGGGTGGGACGGTAGTGGTAACGAGCCTGGGAGAGAACGTGTGATGGGCTGCTTTCATAAAACAGGCGCGGCAGAACCTTCGTTCAAGGGGTCCCACGAACGCGCCGCGCGCACCTTGCCCAACATGCATGGCAAGGTGGGTGATGCGCGGTTCAGGACAGGCAGGTGGGTGGTCGTTGCCATCCAGTCCCTGCCGCGCTGTTACATCATGACGCGCCGTGCTGCGTCCTCAGAATAGCTGGGATTGGACCGCATGTCAAGATTTTGGTCAATTGCCAATGGGAGCATTCAGTCACCCATGTGCTGGCGCCAGCGGGAGTGGAAAAATCGTCAAGTGCCAATCAGAACAGTCTGACACCGAACAGAACATAACAGACTGTTTCTGCAGGGCCGCCGTCGGGCGGCGCGGTGGGCAAAATAACGTGATTGACGGGAGCCTCCCCAGTCAGGTACCGGTGATTCCGGGGGAGAGGGAAACACACTATACTCGGTTTCAGCGTTCCCCCCTAGAGTCACGCTGTTTCGTCAGGCTACAGGTACAAAAAAACGCTGAAAAATCAGTATACGTTACGAAAGAAAGGCTGATTTTTCAGTGTTACTTATCCAAAAAAGGCTGAGTGATCAGTGTTTACCCTAAAAAAAAGTCTGAAAAAACCCTGAATCAGCGTAAAAAGGCTGATATCTAGGGCCCTGGCCAACTCTGATTTCCAGGGTGCCATGGACCTGGAACTCTGATTTGTCAGGGTTTTTGTACCTTCTCAGGAAAAAAGCTCTGTCCGCCTAGAGTTTGGAAGAGATCCTGAATTTTCCCAGCACATGACATTGAGTCACACATTCACATGGCACGGTAACAGAGCAGCATCTCATCAATCATCATCATCCTCCTCATCTGAACCCTCACTAGCTGCTATCTCCTCATCCGAATCCTCAACTACATTTTTGCCTTTGTCGAGGGGAGCCTCATAGGCCACAGTCTTAGCCTGCTTTCGCGCCTTCTGCTTCCTCTAGATGTCGATGATCTCGGCGTAGTCCATGTCGTAATCCAGCATGTTGATCGTCATGAGTTCGCTCAGCCTCGCATCGCACAAGCTCGTCCGCAGCCACGACTTGATCACGTTATGTCGGCTGAATCATATTTCACACTCCAATGTGCTCAGTGGCAGCACATCCATGGCCTGCCACAATGCCATCAGGTTGGGGTAGCTCTATGGCCAGTCGCAGGTCTTGAGCATGGCTGGCAGCCCCTAGTTGAATTCCTTATGATGTGAGCGAAGGACTTCAGCTCCGACTCAGCTGCCCTTTGATTCACTCCTGGAATTGGGGTTGGGAATAGAAGCAGGGGACAACGGTTTAATAACCAACCTAAGGCAAGGTAAACTTGCATTCAACAACGAATGCTACAGTTGCGTAAAATGGAACAACTGGCTTATTAGGCAGCTTATGGTCGAAAAGGGCGACGTTGGATGCGAGGCAGGAGAGATGTCGCCGCTCGCGCAGTTATGCCTTCTTCGGTCAGCACTCAACTTTGAACAGTCCCGTGCCGCCCATCTGCTTCAGATCCCACAGCCTCTGCTCTACATTCGCCACAATGTCTTTGGCGAACGCGGAGAAGAGATCCTCTCAGTCCGACATGCTGCCGCCGAACTTGTGGCCGAATAGCTTCTCCTCCGAGAGTTCGAATGCGTGCGTGCAGGGACTTACGTCGTTGTCCACACCATCGACGATGATGCAGCGCTTGCCGTTGGCGTGCCACTGCACGAAATTGGTTAGCCTCTTGCTTAGGCCCGTCCCAAATGTCGCACCGTACTCGATGCAGCGGTGCCGGATGTAGGTGACCGTGCGGTCAACCTCATGGGATGTCACAGGATCGAATGTGTCGAGGAAAGTTACACTATGGATTGATACAAGGCGCTTTTATACTTCCAAAATATATCAGGTAACCAGGTTTATCCTATCCAAAGGGAATAAACCCTTCTAGAAATAGAATCACCCTACGTATAGCCACGCGTGGCTATTGGCTTTAAGGGATTTCGACAGGATTACGCTAGATATAGCGCGCCAGTACATCCCGAGCCTGGTCGGTGAGATAATTATAATAATAGGATAACCCAAAGGATAATGGAATAGGAGAAAAAGGAAACCAAATGAGATGAGGTAAAAAGAGGAATGAATTGGAAAGGAGATATGGAAAAGGAAATTGGTGTAACGGGGTCTTACTCTCACACTTCCCCCCCTCAAAGCTGGGTAGTAGCAGTAACACCCTGCTTAACAAGGTATTCGCGAAGAGGACGACGAGCGTTACCCATCTCGGAGTCAGGAACCCAAGTATCCTCAGAAGGATCATAACCCTTCCAACGAATGAGAAGCTCCACGGTGACATTCCGACGACGGCGGTGTGCGAGCACGGACTCGACCTGGTACTCGGGTTCATCGTGGACGAGGATGGGCGGCGACGGCGGGGGTTGACGTCTGGTGAAGACCGTGTTAGGGTCTTGATAGGGCTTCAGAAGTTGGACATGGAAGGCGTTGTGAATCTTCCAGGTAGCTGGCAGGCGTAAGCGGAAGGTAACAGGAGTGACCTGTGCTTCAACGAGAAAGGGTCCGCAGAAGCGAGGTCGCAGTTTGGATGGGAGATGACTGATGTTGATATTGCGGGTGTCGAGTAGAACCTGGTCTCCCACGGGGATGGTGTGGTCAGTGCGGTGGCGATCGGCCTGGCGCTTCTGTTGCTGCTGAATGTCGAGGAGGCGCTTGTGGGTCCGATCCCAAAGCTGATGCATGGTCGTGATGAAGTTGTGTGCGGATTGGACTGTAGCTGATGCTGTCGGTTTTTGTGGCATGAGCGGGTGGCGTTCGTAGCAGAGGAAGAACGGCGTTTGTCCAGTAGCGGCGTGAGTGGCGTTGTTGTAGGCAAACTTCAGACGAGCAGGTGCAAGTCCCATTTAGAGATTTTGTCTTTGGATGTTGCGTGGAGGAGCTGCTCTACAATTTGGTTGAGGCGCTCGGTCTGTCCATCGGTCTGTGGATGGTAGGCGGATGACATGGCGAGTTTGGTCCCGAGCAGAGACATTAGTTCCTTCCAGAACTTGCTGGTGAACTTGGGGTCTCGGTCGGAGATGAGTGTGGTTGGGATGCCATGTTGTGAGATGATGTAGAGAACGAATAGTTGGGCTGTCTCTTCGGTGCGTGCTGTCGTGTGTGTCGGGATGAAGTGTCCCATTTTGGAGAATTTGTCGATGACGACGAGGATTGCGTCATGACCGCTTGTGGTAGTTGGTAACCCGGTGATGAAATCCAGGCTAACCACTTGCCAGGGTTGTTATGGGACAGGAAGAGGCTGTAGCAGTCATGCTTTTTTCTGCGTGGTGCTCTTCATCCGCTGACATGTTGCACACGAGGTGACGAATTGCTGGACGTCGGCTGCCATGTGGGGCCAGTAGTAGTGTTTTGCAATACCGGTAAGCGTCTTGTTGCTACCGAAGTAGGGCTACATCGTGGTATTCTTCGAGTAGTAACTGGCGCAGATGGTAATTGGGTACCCAGATCTTCATTGATCCCTTCCGGTATGCGATGTCACTGTCCCACTATAGCAGGTGTCGTTTTGCTGCCAAAGGAATTTCGGGGTCGATGGCGTATCCGTGTGTGAAGAGTCCCTTGAGTAGTGGGTTCATCCCTTCTACCTGGATTGCGGCAACGTGTGCAGGCCGACTGAGAGCGTCTGCTTTGTTTTTGTGGACGGGCTTGTACACGATGTCATAGTGGAAGTGCGTCTCAAGGAAGTCAATCTACCGGACATGCCTCATGGAGCGGTTTGGTTGTGTCTTCAGATTATTCAAGCTACAGTGGTCGGTGTAAACGGTTGTTCTCCATCCTTCGAGATAACATCTCCACGTTTTGAACGCGACGATAATAGCAAAGGCCTCCTTGTCGTGTATCGGGTAGTTTAGTTATGACCCGTATAGTTTCTTGCTGAGGTAGGCGATTGGTTGCAGTCCATTCCCCTGGTCTTGCATCAAGACTGCTCCCACTGCCTGGTCACTAGCGTTAGCTTCGATGACGTAGTCGCGTTCGGGGTCAGGCAAGATGAGTACGGGTGCGGACGTGAGTGCTTGTTTCAGCTGCTCCACGGCTTCCTTATGTTTTGGTTCCCACTTATAGGGCATGTTCTTCTTCAGCAGATTCGTTAATGGTGTTGCGATTTTCGCGTACTGTGGCACGAACCTGTTGTAATAGTTAGCGAAGCCTAGGAACTGCTGCAACTCCTTCACATTCTCGGGTGTCTTCCACGTGCGTACGGATTCGATCTTCTTGGGGTCGACGCGAACTCCTTAAGCGCTTACCATGTGTCATAGGAATTGGACTTTCTCAAGGGCGAATTCGCTATTGGATAACTTGACGTAGAATCGTTCTCGTCGAAGAATGTCGAAGACGCGTTGCAGGTGTTGAACGTTCTGCTGCATGTCGCGCGAGTAGATGAGGATATCGCCCATGTACACCACCACGCATTCGTCCAAGAGTGGGCGTAGAATATGGTTCATTTCAGCTTGAAACATTTCCGGTGCGTTAGTGAGTCCGAACGGCATTACCAGATACTCGTACGACCCGTACCGAGTGCGGAAAGCAGTTTTGTGGATGGAATTGTCCGCCATTCATATCTGCCAGTATCCGGACCGCAGATCCAGTTTGGAAATACCGTGGCTCCCCAAAGCTGGTGAAGCAGGTCATCGATTCGTGGGATTGGGTATTTGTTCTTGATGGTCTGCTTGTTGAGAGCTCGGTAATCGATGCACATGTGCAGGCTTCCGTCCGGTTTCGGTGTGAGGAGATACTCGATTTGTTTCTTCATGTCGGCTAGCTCCGTGGGGTTGAGCCGATATGGTGCTCGGAAGGTCGGCTTCGAACCTGGTTCTTCCACGATCTCGTGTTGGTGCGTTTGGTATGGCGGTAGCTCGTTCGGAAGGTCATCGGGAAGAATGTCTTGGAACTCCTTCAGTAATTCCTTGATTTTTTGTGGAGGTTCCGAGGCTTTCTCTCTGTCGCTTTCCACATCCGTCGCTATCACAAGGAACCCAGTGTCGGTTCGTTTTACATCCTTCTCAAATCTTGCGAGTGTCTCCACTGGGATATCTCCTGTATCATCTCAGTTGGGTAGCTAGACTCTCCTTCCATTGTCGTAGATGCTTGCGGTACGATTTAACTAGTTGATCTCGGGGTTGAATCATTTTAGGAAGTCTCGCCCGAAGATCAAGTCAAGCCCTTTTATGTTGGTGATGGGAAGTGCAGGTCTCCAGCGCAGTGGTCCAATTTGTAGGTGTAACACTGCTTCGCCGTGTACTGGTAACTTGCTACCGTCCACCATCATTGCAGAGAATGCTGAAGGCTTGTACTCTTCCCGAAGTTGGTCGATTACTGCCTTGTCGCAGATGGTGTGCGATGCTCCGTTGTCCACGAGTGTTTGGAGGTGTCGTCCTTTGTGTTGCTCGGAGTACCCAACGATAGTTTCGTTAATAGGATCATAGGGTACATCCCAATATTCCGTACACACCTTTTTCTTGCTATCTGCTCGTGGGTTAGCAGCTGGCCGAGGCTGCTTGGAGAAAGCTTCTCCCTCAGGACCCTGAGCTTTCTCGACGACTGTGTGTGTCGTTGATGCCGAATTTGCTGAACTGGATGCATCCGGAAGAGGAGTTCGGGGTTGTTGCAGCTTCTTGTAGACCCCCAGCTTCCTCTTGATCTGCTTCAGCTCCATCGACGTCTTCCCTAGGGAACGCGCAGTCGTTGTGGGCTGGTGTTGGGAGAGGACGTTAACTCCGTGGAAAGGTCGGCTTCTTTCCACAACCCTTATTTTTTCCACCAAGTTCTCCGGTATCGGTATGATCTCCACAAGTTTCTACTTCTTCTGGAGTCCCTCCCGGAATTTCTCCAAGGCTCTACCCCCTCAAGAATCATAATTTTCCATTAAAGCATCTTTATCAGATAAACTGAACAAATCCTTATAATTTCTTGGGCCTTCTCGGAGTTTCCCCGTCTCGGCACAATCCTTTTTCGCGGAGCCAGATTTTTTCTCGGCGATTTTCTCTTGCGAAGACTGGTCGTGGGGTGGAGATTTTCCCCCATCATTACCTCCTGCTCGCGTCGAATTAGATTCGTTGAAGTCGATTTTCCCGGAATCCCGCGGCCGCTTTCGGATCTTTTCTTTTTCACCAGCTAAATCCGCAATCACTAGCGAAATCCGTGTTTTGTCTTCTGATTCGCCGAAGAATTTCCACCACTGTTGCGTGCCCGATACTCTTCTCGTGCGGCTTTCATTTTGTGGCAGTCGAAGATTCGATGGCCCAGCACCCCGCAAAAATCACACGTGTAGTTGGTGTTTTTCGGACGTGACCGCCCGTCGAACTTGTCGATTTCCATCGGGTCGGCGAACGTGGGGTGAGCCGAGCGGTCGCCCTGTCGCGTATTGCCGACGTGCGCCCGTCGTGTTTCGACATTGACCATGTCAAACCGCTCTGCTGCCGAAACGACGTCACTGTAGCTCACGTAATTTGTCGCAGCTACTTGTCGTTTGACTTCGATCTTCAGCCCGGCGAGATACGACAGTACTTTTTCCCCTTCGGTCAGATCAGGAATGCGGTTATAAAATTCCACCATCTGTTGCGTGTACTGCGTTACTCTCCCGAACTGTCGATGGCGATGATTTTTTTCCCGGGCAGGGAAACCTGAATTTATCGGCTTGAAGCGTTTCAGCAGGTCGATGCGGAACTGCTGCCACGTGGCTTCGCCGTGGATGAAGGTACTGTTACCGTCGATCTACTCGAGTGTCGGTCCTCGCATGAGTGTCGCCGCGAGTCGTACGCGTTGACCATCCCAGACTGGCGAGCTCCATCCGACGGCTGCGAAGTAGATCTCCATGCCGGCGATCCATTTGTGGGCGACGGAGTTTCGATCGCTCGGATCGAACGGCTCAGGTGGGCGCGGTTTCGAAGCCTCGAAAAAGTGCTGCGACTGTTGTGTCGTCGCTGTTGTCGTGACGTGCTGTACGCCGGCGAGTTGAGTTACTCGCTCGAACTCGTTTCGCCAAGCTTCGCGATCGGCTCGCATCTCCTCCTGAAGGGCGGCGATGCTCGCGAAGAGCTGTTGGGTAACCTCGACGTTGTCGAAGTCCACCATCCTGTTCAAAACACGCGCGGACGGGTGAATACGAAAAAACGCGGAGCTGGTGCTTACCAGAATCGGCACCGAATTAGTCGCCCCGGGCGGTTTTTCGAGGCAGGTTTTCCCGCTGCTTCTGCTTAGCTGAGCTCGGCTGGGTGAGAAAGGCTCAGATTACCAAGTGTTACAGGATCGAATGTGTCGAGGAAAGTTGCACTATCGATTGATACAAGGCGCTTTTATACTTCCAAAGTACATCAGGTAACCAGGTTTATCATATCCAAAGGGAATAGACCCTTCTAGAAATAGAATCACCCTGCGTATAGCCACGCGAGGCTATTGACTTTAAGGGATTACGACAGGATTACGCTAGATATAGCACGCCAGTACATCCCGAGCCTAGTCGGTGATATAATAATAGGATAACCCAAAGGATAATGGAATAGGAGAAAAAGGAAACCAAATGAGATGAGGTAAAAAGAGGAATGAATTAGAAAGGAGATATGGAAAAGGAAATTGGTGTAACGGGGTCGTACTCTCACATGGGACACCAGGGTGATGTCCAGCTGCCGAAAGGGGCATAGGGCAGGTGGAGGTACAAAATGCACGGAATTATAATTAGGGTTAAGACTGCCATGTTACACGCATAGCACGACCATGCAACAGTGCAACGTCATACGCCAAACAGAAGTACGTCCCGTTAAGCCACCATTTACAGAGCGCCTCTGAAAGAACCTGTTGAGGGTGTTCATCTCGGCGAGAATGTCAGTGAGGAAGTACAGGCAGTAGTGGAATTTCAGAGTCTTCACGACCAGTGCCAGCTTGTGGCTGTACTCGATGAGGACAACGATCGCCGCTCCGAGAATGCTGCAGAGCCTCTTGATTGCGTCGCCACGTGAGAGCCACCGGACGAGGTAGAGTCATTGATGCTCCAGGTTGGTGTTATGGATGACCATCTACAGGTACTTGAAGCGCTCATACCATGGGGTGGAACGGCCGGCAATCTCCCCCAATGCGCGGATGACGGCATCGATGATCTTGAAGTTCGGCCATGGTGATTGGCAAATTCGCACACTTGTAGTGTAAATGGTACAGTCGTGGGAGAGGGCTTGCCAGTTATGCGATGCGCGAAGGCGAAGGCGAAGCATGTAAGCGATATGGCGGATGTGGCGGCCTGGTGATTTAGTGCATGAATGAGGTAGAGTGCCAAGGTCATATCCGTTGCAGGCAGGTAGCTCAACTTCACCTTCATGCAGAAGGAGCGAAATTTGAGCCAGTAGGGCTCATATGTTTGGATGGTGAAAGGGGCACGGACGTGGGTGATTACGTATAGTAGTTGCTTATGCAGTTTTCTTATAATGCCTGAAAAGGTAAAGCGTAGAGTACAGTTATTATTAATTTTTATGCGTGACATGCAGTGCCATCATCTGACTAGGAGGAAAGTCTTGTCCTATGAAAGCGAGTGCGTGTGTGCCGGGGCGTAGGCATTGGCTGCCGTGGGTGAGGGGAATGTGTGCCGTTACTTCTGGCACCCAGGCGTCACGTGCCTGTTGGAGGAGTGGCCACCATGATGCTCCCGGCCACTCAGGAATAACCAAGGTCAGCTCAGCGTGTGTGTGTTTAGCGTGTTGTAATGTGGTTGGAATGAGGTTGGGAGGAGGAAACGCGAAGCCGCGCTCGTGCTGCCAGCTGAACGAAAAAGCGTCAAAAACTGCGGCCGTAGGTGTGGAATCTTGGAGCAAAACCTCTTTAGCTGAGTGTTGTGCACATTTGCGAAGAGATCGATAGAGTGGGGACCCAGGCGGCGATCCAAGAGCCGAAACCACGGGGTTTGGAGGGAGTGGTCATTGTGGTCTTGGGTTTTGAAAGTTTGTCGGCGTACGCATTCAGCTCTCGCGGGTGCCATTCGACAACTAGCCTTGTCTGATGTTCCAGGTAGAGATGAATGATTGCTTGGCATAGTCGTGTGAGCGTGGGGTGGCGCGATCCACCTTTGTGCAGAATGAATAGCACCCCTTGATTGTCTACCCGAACGAGCACGTGGCGCTTGGGTATGCGGGCGGCGAAAGTTTGGAGAGCCCATAAGACTCCTTCGAGTTCCCGTCGAATGCTGGAGGTGGGCAGTATTTCCTCGTGCATGCGAGCACTAGCTTCAATGGGCGTCCCGGGAAGTTTTATCAGGGTGGCGCCCCAGCTGTGTGTGCTTGCATCGACGTGGATGACGGCGTCATACTGGTGACTAAGATGGAATGGGGTTCGTTTGAACTTATCGAACTGCGCAAGCAAAAAATACAGCTCCTGCACTGCTGTCGAGGGCAAGTGTGCCTAGGCGTGCCAAGAGGTGGCGTTGGCAATAAGTCGAAGGAGCTCGAGACTAAAGGCACGTGCCGTAGCGCCCAACGCTAGATTCATGGAGGCCAGCATTCCTGTGATTCTCGCAAGGGACCGGGATAGGAACTGGTTGTCCCTCTTGTCCCTGGGTGATGAGGGCTTAGATTGTAGCAAAGAGTTGTGCTCGACATTGGAGTCCGATGGAGAAGGTGCCTTGGGCCGCATCAATCTCCAGGCCGAGGAAAGCTATCTGGCGCGACGGGCGTAGATGTGAATTTTTTCCGTTTATAACAAAACCTGCTGCCTTCAGGTCCTGCACGATAGCTGCGCAGGTCGAGCGTGCATCAGAGTGGGAGTTGCAGAGGAATAGTAAGTCGTCGACATATAGAACAACCCGCACGCCGCTCGCCCGCCATCGCTTTGCCAGTTGTTTGATCAGTTGTGTGAAGACGAACGAGGCAGTGGCAAGCCCAAACGGGAGCAATATGAAGGAATACTAGTCTCCTTCAAACTGGAATCCCAAGAATCTCCAGCAGGAGGGGTGGATCTCGACATGGTGGTAGCCCAACTTTAGGTCGATGGAGAACATCCAATCGCCTGGGCGGATGAGTTCGGCTACCCTGTTCAAGCCTTCGTACTTGAACTTGGGGATGTCGAGGTAGGTGTTGCCTTCGCGCAAGTTGAGAATGAGGCGACAATTGTCGCGCTGCTCCACCACGTTAAGTGGACTGACACACATGAGCACGTCCTTTGTAGGGACCCTGACGGCGGCACCCGAGGTGACCAGGTCGTGAATTGCGCCACGAGTGAAGTCCAGGTGTGTGCAAACTCCAGCATGATTGCTATCCTCGAAGGCATGTGGCGCGGCTTCCTTCCAGGGAAGCCAATATCCATTCGCGATGACGGACAGGATGAAGTTGCTATCGCACCATGAGCACCACCAGTATAGGCCGTGACGCAATCGACTATGCATGACAGTCACGTCCTTGTCTGTAACCGCGTACCCGTAGGGGTCATGTTCGTTGCGTAACCATCCTTCTCCGATTTCTGCTGGACCAAAGGGTCGGGTGGCAAGAATCACATGGGTACCCAAGTGAGCGAGACCAGACAATTTGCCTTAAGGGTGGATGTGTCATAGTCAATTGCAGGGGGGCATAGCTCCTATTCAGTTGGCAAAGAGGGAGTGGCTCATGTTCAATTGCAAAAGGGGCATAATATTCATGCCTTCTCCCTTCAGCACTGGAGCCTTCGTCGCCTCTCTCTCTCTCTCTCTCTCTCTCTCTCTCTCTCTCTCTCTCTCTCTCTCTCTCTCTCTCTCTCTCTCTCTCTCTCTCTCTCTCTCTTTCTCTCTCTCCTTCTATTATGCTCCTTCACTTGCTTTTTGTTATGGTATCTCTCTCTCTCTCTCTCTCTCTCTCTCTCTCTCTCTCTCTCTCTCTCTCTCTCTCTATCTCTCTCTCTCTCTCTATCTCTCTCTCTCTCTCTCTCTCTCTCTCTCTCTCTCTCTCTCTCTCTCTCTCTCTCTCTTTCTCTTATGCTTTTTGTCTCTCTTTCTCTTATGCTCTCTCTCTCTCTCTCTCTCTCTCTCTCTCTCTATCTCTCTCTCTCTCTCTCTCTCTCTCTCTCTCTCTCTCTCTCTCTCTCTCTCTCTCTCTCTCTCTCTCTCTCTCTCTTTCATCAAGGCCTTGCGAAAGTTTTTTTTTTTGTTTGTTTGTTTTTTTTTTGTTTTTTTTTTGTTTTTTTTTTGTTTTTGTTTTTTTTGTTTTTTGTTTTTTTTGCAAACTTAGCTTCAATGCGCCATAACGGCATACATGTTCCATACATGGAATAACACAAGGTTATAGGCCCATGGCCTTCTCTGCCCCTAGGGCTACCCTAGTCTACTAGGCCATTTGCCTTGTCCTAAGGCCGGCCACCAGCCATGCACCCCCGGTGCAGCCCAATATGCTTCTTGCATATTGGCGAAGGGCGCTGCCCTTACCCCTGCTCACACCACTGGTGAGGGGCCTTGTGTTCCACGCCCGCCCATGGGGCACGCTTTAGCCATGTGACCTGGCTGGCCACAGTGAAAGCACACACTTGACTACTGGCACGCGAGAGGGGGGGAGCCTTTGAGGTCCATTTCTCCATCACGGCCGCCGGGACGACCACCAGGGGGGTAGATTGCGCGTGCCCGCTTGAGTGCAACCACGTCGGCGACCGCTAGCTTGTAGGAACGGGATGTCAGCACACTCTTGGACTGGTAGAGCTGGAAGCGATCAGCGGCCTCGAAGCCGGCCTCATCCGCCACGAGAAGCACCTCGAAACGCTTATTAATAAGCGTCTCGATGTGTTTCATGTTGTTGAGCGCGCCAGTGACGTTGCCGTGCTGCAGCTCGAATTCGATGTGCTGCAAGTGCGCTTGGGTAGTAGTGAAGACTTCGGCCTGGTTACGCACGCCCTTACGCATGAAGGTAGTTGCTGCGGGCGTGGGACCAAGGCGCACTGAATGCACTCCACTTCCAACTTCCAATTCCCCGCACAACACTTCTAGCAGCTGCTGATTCCTCACGCCACATTTCCAGCAGCCGCGAACTCCTTCATTCCTCCTCATTTCCATCTCTCATCTTCCCCGCTTTCCTCAACCAGATTTCTTCCATATTCCCACCGTATACCGCTGCATCACCGTTCATCCTCCATACATAGCCCCGCCATCGTGCCGCCAGATTAGTTTAGGTCTGCATTTGGCTAGGGCAGCACCGAACCATCTCCAACAACCTCCCCCGTGGTTCGGCGCTGCCAACCCTATCTCCAAGCCTAATACTAGCAATCATACCAAGTTCACAAAACCCTAAGTCCTTGTATCTTTATACTTCTGCAGGTCTTCCAAGTCTTCGTCTTGCAGGTCTTCTTGCCATGTCCTCCCCTGCAATTCAACAAGCCGCTAATGCTTCTTCGTACCCCACTGTTTCTTCTTGGTCGTCCGTATCCCAAACCTCTGTTTCTTGCCTTTCTTCTTCCCCATACCTTTCCCACGCATCTTAGCACTACTCCCCTGCACTTTGGTAGTCTCTTTGCTATTTGCCTCTTTCTCAATCAGCCCCACTTGCTGTCCCTTCAGGTATATCCCACCATGTTCGTCTTCTCCTTCAATCTCCACATACGTCACATATTGCACCTTCACTGCTGCTGCCCTGTTTTCACCATTGTCCTTGCTGCCCTTCTCTTCTTCAGCTCCATCTCCTATCTCAGGCTCCTCTACCACACTAATCTCCTCTTCTTGCTGCAATTCTGCTGCTCAATCCGTTGCCTTTGGCTTCTCCTCCCAATCTGCTCCCACAGCTTCATGCTTCACTTTCACTACCTCATTCATGCTCGCTGCTGTATCTCCGACTTCCCATGCCTCTGCAACTTCAGCTGCAGTCTCATCCTTCTCATTGCTCATCTCATTTCCTTTACGCCCCTATAAGAGCTCCTTTACTGCTATCTTAGGGCTCAAATCCATCTCATAGACTCCATGCTTCAGAACTCCATCAGCCACTCTTTCCCATCCTAGACCAAAGACTGAAACCTTCCCACTCTCAGTAAAGACCTTGCAACCAAGCTTATCCAAATGAGCTTGACTAATCAGATTCACTGCTAGCCTCTCTACCACCAACACTCCCTTCAACTTCAGCTCACCGAAAGGACTACGCAGCACTACATCTCCCTCACCCTTCACAGGTAATTTCTCATTAACTCCCAAGAGAATAAATGAATCCTTTGAATATCTTAGGTTCTCAACCCACGCATACCTGTTTATCATGTGTTGAGTGCTGCCGCTATCAAGGATCCACGCCGCTGCATCATCTCCCTTCACATGCTCCTCACTTATATGCACCACATTCGCACGATGAGCACCTCCGAGGATAACATCCCCCTTTTCCTCCTCAGCTGCTGCCACATTTGCCTTTGCTGCTGCATTCCCTTGCTGCTGCAATTGACCCCTATAATTTCTCCCATGTGGATTGGAGTAGCACTCCGCTGCCCGATGCCCTGCTTGTTGCAGAAATGTTAGTTACCTCCAAATCCCCTTGGCTGTTGCGGTTCAGCTGCACTTATCTTCCCCATGTCGTTTTCTCCTACTTTCCCTTCGTGGTTTCTGCTCCTCGGGTTCTCATAGCAATTGGTTGCCTTGTGCCCCTTTTTCCCACAATGGTAGCACGCTCCGAATCCCCTTCGAAACGTCGCCGCTGCATTCACTATACCCGGCCGATCCTGTCCGCCACTATATGCTGCTTCCTGCTTCTTTCTTTCAGCCCTCATAACCTCAATCACTTGGAGATTCTCCTCCAACTGCGTCAGATTTGTGGGTGGGTGCAGGATCAGCCATGATTTAGGAAGCCCATTCCCAATATATTCCATCATCCGCTCTTCGGTCTCCGCTTCTCCCATAGCTGCTAGCTCGTCATTGTAGCTCTTTGCCCTATTCACGTAGTCAATTATCCTCTCCTCTTCCCCCATGCTGAGGAACAAGAGCAGCTTCCGTACCGTTGATATATTGGTACTACTCTTTTCCAGGTACACATTCTCTAGATGTGCCCATGCTTTCTCTGCCAAGTTCAGCTCGCGTTTAAACGGGTACAGCCTCGCTGCAATGCTATCCGAAACTGAGTGGCAAATATGGAAATATGCTTGCTTACTTCTCCTCTTAGTCCGCTATCTTCTCTGGTGTCTCATGCACTCCACTTCCAACTTCCAATTCCCCGCACAACACTTCTAGTGGCTGCTGATTCCTCACGCCACATTTCCAGCAGCCGCGAACTCCTTCATTCCTCCTCATTTCCATCTCTCATCTTCCCCGCTTTCCTCAACCAGATTTCGTATACCGCTGCATCACCGTTCATCCTCCATACATAGCGCCACCATCGTGCCGCCAGATTAGGTTGTTCCAGGCCCTATTACAATTGCGGGCAGCCAGGCGTTGACCGGCTTGTGTCGGCGCCAACCGTTAGGTGACGGCGCGCCAAATGCCTGGCAGTTGCAGGTTGCCGTAACCAAGAGACTCGGACTTGTCCTAGCAACCTAAGACTTGTCTAGGCTATGCTTGACTAGTTCGGAGATGTGTACGACGACATGCGACTCTGATGAGTCTTGGGTGGTCACAACCAGTGCGAGGGACTTCCGTGCCGAGCAAGGAGGATTTGCCTTGCTGGTTGGGGGTTGCGTACACGGCAATCCCAACCTTGCAGAGTTGGGATTGGGGACTTGGGTGAGGCGCGTTTGTTCAACCCTTCGGCAGTTTCGGGATGGTTGGTTACACCCGCAGCGCCACGCAACACTGGTTGGATATCGCTTGCATATATATATTTGCTCGCTTGGTTGTACTTTATATATACTTTTCTTGTGAAATTCTACTCTACTCGAATTTCGACCAAGTACTTGACGTCGAACTCTGCCCAAATACCACCGGCGCCTAGCATGTTGTTCCTGTAGCGTTACTCTGCCAGAATCGTTCCACACTTTACAAGCGCTCTTGCCTTAGTATTCCTTCATAGGTTAGGTCTGCTGTTGGCTAGGGCAGTACCGAACCATCTCCAACAAGAGGTGCACCGCTTCAATGGTCGTTGCGGAGGGAAAACAGGAAAGGTGGGGCCGTTGGCCGTAGAGGAGGGCGAGGAGGCAAGGACGAGGTCACGAGGGCTTCTTTGCAGTGGCGACAGGACAGCAAGGTTTGGGAAAACAATAGAGGTAGAAAAGAGAGGATGGGAGCAGGGAGGGCAGGGAGGGCAAGGAGAGCAGGGAGAGCAGGGAGAGCAGGGAGAGCAGGGAGAGCAGGGATAGCAGAGAGAGTGGGGAGAGCAGGGAGAGCAGGAGCCATACGGGGGGGAAATGAGGGGGTGGATGGGAAAGGAATGGGAGAAACAGCGGCGTTGAACCTCCATGGATTTTAAACCATACGAGTCATGAATCCTGAAGCCATTAAAAAACATGAATCCCGCCCCGAAACCTTGAGTGCAGCCTTCAGCAAGTGGATCCAGATTCCATCACCATACGAATTCGAAAGCCATTATTGTATGAATACAGCAGCCGATACCGCCGTGAAGCCGTGAGAACGTTACAGTAATGTAACAGTCGAGTCTACCGTCATGAATCCGTCGAACTGTTTCGATCGACTCCACCACTTTCGCGATGCGGAACGCGTCTTTGCCGATGTTCTCCTTGCACTTCCGGCAGCTCGCCCGCCCGGACTTGGCGTACTCCGCCTTGAACGGCTTCGGCTTCGCGCGTTCCTCGCCGTCCACCATGGCGACGGCCTGTGAAGCACGCAAATGCGGCGATAAAATGGAGAACTGTCGAGCGGGGTAAACTAGAAATTAAGAGGGAACAAGTAGAACGAATTGTATTGATTGAAACCCAACGAGATACCTAGGCTAAAATAGGGCAAGACCGAGCTAGAGCGAGGTGGAGCGGGAAAACGACAGGCGAGATTGGGAGAAAGGGGCGAGATTGGGAGAAAGGTTGACAAGCCGAGGTCAGACTCTCGAGACCAGGTTCGAATTCTTCCTCCTCACGCGAGGTCCGACAACGCGACATGGTCGGTAGGCCCAGGAAACTCGTTACCGTACTGATGTCCGCCATAAGAGCGCATTCACTTGCCTGAATATCCAGAATGCGGAGACCAATCTCGTGTCGCACCATGCGGAACCGTACTGAACCATATAGCTCGACATTTCGTTTTCTTGTACCAGGCGTGTCTGGGAAGAGGGAAGGCTGGCACAATTGAAATGACGAGCTCCGCCGCACGCTTCAGAGGAGGTACCGATAATACTGTCAAACATGTGTATTTGTCATGTTTGTATAGACTGTGTAGGGTCGTCTCTTAGAGGGTACAACACTTAGGTATATCTGTGTGTACTCTCACTCTATCATTATTCACTTCTCTAATTCTGATATGGTATCACGCGTAGGTTAGGATCCCCCCCCACCTACCGCTTCCGCTCGCCCCCCCTAGCTCGGCCCCGCCGTGCCTTCCTCCTAGCCCCGTCGTGCCCCTAGCCCCGTCGCGACCCCCCTAGCCCCGTCGCGCCCCTTCCTGGGCCCCGTAGCGCCCCTCCTGGGCCCCGTCGCGCCCTTCCTGGGTCCTGTAGCACCCCTCCTGGGCCCCGTCGCGCCCCTCCCAGGCCCCGTCGCGCCCCTCCTGGGCCCCGTAGCGCCCCTCCTGGGCCCCGTAGCGCCCCTCCTGGGCCCCGTCGCGCCCTTCCTGGGCCCTGTAGCGCCCCTCCTGGGCCCCGTCGCGCCCTTCCCAGGCCCCGTCGCGCCCCTCCTGGGCCCCGTAGCACCCCTCCAGGGCCCCGTCGCGCCCCTCCTAGGCCCCGTAGCGCCCCTCCTGGGCCTCGTCGCGCCCCTCCTGGGCTCCGTAGCGCCCCTCCTGGGCCCCGTCGCGCCCCTCCTGGGCCCCGTAGCGCCCCTCCTGGGCCCCGTCGCGCCCTTCCTGGGCCCTGTAGCGCCCCTCCTGGGCCCCGTCGCGCCCCTCCCAGGCCCCGTCGCGCCCCTCCTGGGCCCCGTAGCGCCCCTCCTGGGCCCCGTCGCGCCCCTCCTAGGCCCCGTAGCGCCCCTCCTGGGCCTCGTCGCGCCCCTCCTGAACTCCGTAGCGCCCCTCCTGGGCCCCATCGCGCCCCTCCTGGGCCCCTGTAGCGCCCCTCCTGGGCCCCGTCGTGCCCCTCCTGGGCCCCGTAGCGCCCCTCCTGGGCCGTGTCGAGCCTCCTCCTGGGCCCCGTCACGCCTTCAGGCCCCGTCGCACCCGCCCGGCCCCGTCGCACCATCCCGGCCCCGTCACGCCCGCCCGGCCCCGTCGCACCCGCCCGGCCCCGTCGCCCCCTGCCCGGCCCCGTCGCAGCCGCCCGGCCATGTCGCACCCGTCCGGCCCCGTCGCGCCCGCCCAGCCCCGGTGCGCCCCTCCTGGGCCACCGTCCTGCTCGCCCGGCCCCGTCGCACCGGCCCGGCCCCGTCGCACCGCCCGGCCCCGTCGCACCAGCCCGGCCCCGACGCACCCGCCCGGCCCCGTCGCACCAGCCCGGCCCCGTCGCGCCCTCCCGGCCCCGTCGCACCCGCTCGGCCCCGTTGCACCGGCCCAGCCCCTGCGCTCGTCCCTGCCCCGGCCCCGGTCCTCCTCACTGGTACGGTTCTTCCCCCCCCCCCCCCCCCCCCCCCCCCCCCCCGCCCTGCACTGCCCTGCACCGTACTGCCCCGCACTGCACCGCCCCGCACCACCCTGTACTGCCTGGCACCGCACTGCACTGCACTACACCGCACTGTACCGCACGGCACCGCACTCCACCTTGCTGCACTGCCCTGCACCGCACTGCACTGTTCCTGATGGCGGCGGAGCTTCGCTTCGACGCTGAAAGCCAGCCTCTGGAGTTCGAGGCGTGGCTTGCCGACCTCCGTCGCCAACTCACTGGCCAGCGGCAGGATGGTGAACCGCTTTCCGCACACCTTGACGGTACGCTCCCCTGCCCAGACCCCCCTGCTATTCTGCCCGCTGACTCCACACCCACTGAGCGCGAGTCCACTGCTGCCACTGCCCGTGCATGCTCTGTCTGGCTTTCTCGCGATGCTGTCGCCCAGCTTGCCATTAGCAACGCCCTTCCCCCGTCCGAGCGCCCTCGCTTTAGGTCCCTCACTACTGCTCAGGCATACTTAGATGTTGTCATCCAGCGCTATTCCACCCCTCCGGCTGCCTCGGTGGGTCGCCTGATCCTCCCGATGCTCTTTCCTGACCTTGCATCTTTCCCCACTGTCTGTGACCTCGCTGCCCACCTGCGCTCGATAGATGAGACCTGGCGCGCTGCCTGCACTGACGCACAGCTTAGAGCCCACCAGCCGCCCATTACCTCTACCCTCTACCTGCTTGCCACCCGCCTCCCTGACCGCCTTGCTGTCGCCCGCGACCGCTTCCTTAGCATTCACCCCACAGACCTCACCCTCACTGACTTTGTAGACACCCTGACTGTGATAGAGACCCGTCACCGCTCCATCGCCCAGGCGAGCGGTGTCGTGCCGGTCCCTATCTTTCAGGGTTGTGCCCTCGCTCAGTGTACCTTCTCCGACGGCTCTGCCGCAGTGGCTGAGACTGCTGCTGCAGCGCAGTTTCGTTCGGAGAAGGGCCGCCGCCCCAAGGTTGGGCGCGGCGGAGGCGGCGGCGGGGGTGCGGGAGGGGGTAGTGGTGGGGTCGGGTCGTCTGGTGCTGGAGCGGACGAGGGAACCCTGCCCAGTCCAGCTGAGCCGCCGCCCCTGCAGTTGCAGCAGCCGCAGCAGCTGCCGCAGTCGCAGCCTTCGCAGTAGCAGGTGCAGATGCGGCAGACAAGTGTCCTTCCGCCCGGGTGGCCCGGCGCTGGCGGTGGACGGGCGCGTGGTGGTGTGCCGAGTGGTGGCTCTGGCGGCGGGCGTTGTCAGTACCAAATCCAGACCGGTCCTCGCCGCGGCTTCGTTTGCGGTAAGATCGGTCACTCCACTCCCCACTGTTTTCGTCGCCTGGACGACCTCTTTCGTCAGCGCTTCGGCCCGTCGCCAGACCTCCCGGACTGGCACAGTTTGCTTAGTCGTAAGATTCAGATTTTTGATATGGACATGGATGCCATTGTTTCTGCTCTGCATGTGATGTATTCTGATGAGTCTAGTGTGCTTCCCGCTTATTACTCACTGTTGCCTAGTGTAGGTGTGCCTAGCTTAGCCTCCCCTGCTGCGTCAGGCGTAGGATCCCCTGCTTTGTGTAGTCTTGGTGCTTCCGCCGTCGTTCCGTCGCCAGACGCCTCTGCTTCGCTTTCCTTCACCTTGGACTCTGGCGCTTCTCGGTGTTTCTTCCGCGACTCCACCACCCTGACGCCGCTTCCTGTTCCAGCTGCCGTTTCTCTTGCTGACCCCTCCGGCGGTCCGGTAGTCGCCCGCAGTTCCACCACCCTTCCCTGTCCGGCTGTTCCTTCGGGCACTCTCACAGGTCTGCATATCCCCTCGTTCTCCAGGAACCTAGTTGGTGTCGGCTGCCTCCAGGACCTTGGCGTCACCACTACGTTCCCTGGTCACGAGCGGTATGCTCTCTGTACCGAGGCCGCCACTGGTGCCCCCCTGTCCACGTTCCCCCGGGACCCGGTGTCCGGCCTGTTCACTCTGGACACCGTGACCCCCCCAGCTAGAGCGCTCACCCAGGTTGCTGCTGCGTGCTCCTGTCGGTCCCTCACTCACCCGACCCTCCTTTGGCACCACCGCCTAGGTCACCCTGCACTCCCGCGTCTGCGTCACATGTTCCAGCACGGTCTTGTCCTTGGTCTCCCAGGTTCCCTCCCCGCATTTCCCTCCTCCCCAGCCCCACCTTGCATGCCTTGTGTCGAGGGTCGGCTTCGCCGTGCCCCTCACTCCTCCTCGTTTCCCCCTACCGCCGCGCCGCTGCAGACCCTGCACCTGGACGTCTGGGGCCCCGCCCCCGTCCCTGGGCCGCGTCGAGAGCGCTACTTCCTTGTGCTTGTCGACGACTTCACTCGTTACACCACAGTCTTTCCACTGGAGCGCAAGGCCGACGTGCCTGGCGCTCTCATCCCCTGGCTTGTCTCTGCGCGTGTCCACCGCGGTCTCCCTGTCTTGCGTCTTCACTCCGACCGTGGTGGCGAGTTTGCCTCAGGTGTCCTTGGTCGCTTTTGTCGTGCGGAGGGCATCACCCAGACGTTCACCCTACCGGACTCCCCACAGCAAAATGGGGTCGCTGAGCGACGCATCGGTTTGGTCATGGAGGTGGCTCGCACCTCCATGATCCATGCCAGTGCACCCCATTTTCTGTGGCCGTTCGCTGTGCGCTACGCTTCTCACCAGCTTAACTTGTGGCCGCACCCTCAGCAGCCGCAGGTTTCGCCGACCCGTCTTTGGACTCGGTCTCCTGGTGACGCGTCTGCGTTCCACGTCTGGGGCTGCCTTGCTCACGTCCGTGCCTCCGGCACGGACAAGCTCACTGCCCGCACCCTTCCCTGCGTCTTCCTCGGTTTTCCCCTTGACGCGTCCGACTGGCACTTTTACCACCCGCCGTCTCACCGCTTCTTTCACTCTCGTGACGTCACCTTTGACGAGTCCGTCTCCTACTACCGTCGCTTCCCCCACCGTGGTCCCCCAGTTACCCCCCCCCTGTTCCTGGTCACTCCTTCCCCGGTAGTCCCTGCCCCTCCTCCTCCTCCTCCCCGTCCCGCCCCCTCTGGTGTGTCCCACGTCACCCCCCTTCCGTCGGTGGACCCGGTTGAGGAGTCTTCAGACTCTGGTGGCCGTCCTGTTCAGTCCTCGCCGGCCGCCCCTCCCCTGGCGTCCCCTCCCCAGTCCCCTCCTCCACCGCCTCCGCCGCCGCTGCAGCCGTCGTTGTCGCTGCCGCCGCCGCCGCTGCCGCCGCCGCCGTCGCAGCCCCCGTTCGCTGACTCTGGGGGTGCTCGTCCCGATAGCCCTGGGGGTGGTCCCTCTGGGGGTGCTGGTGTGGAGAGTGCCGGTGGTAGCCGAGGAGCAGCTTGCGGTCCAGGTGTCGCCGTTGTGCCGCCGCAGCAGCAGTCCCCACCAGTGTCCGCCCTTCGCCTGCTCGGCCTTCCGTCCCCCGACCCTGCGTCGGTTCCTCCCCGACCGTCTCCTCCTCTTCCTGTCTACGGCCCTGTTTTCCCTCCGCCGGACTCGTCCCCGGCTCGTCTCCCCCCTCGTTCCCCTCCTGTGTCCCCTCCTCTGTCTCCTGACCCGACTCCTCCGTCGCACGTCTGGTCTCACCGTCCCTCCCGTGCTCGTCCTGCCTCGCCTGTCTTGTGCTCCCACCCTATGTTGCTTCGTTCCCACGCGTCTCGTCCTCCCCTTCTGCCGTCGCCTCCTCCGTCCTCCCTTGTTGTTGCACCCCCCCCGCTGTCTGACTACCTTCGTGCCGCTCGTCCCCTTGTTCCTCGGGTCCTTGCCTCTCTCGTTACCGACCCGTCTGTTCCGGCCTCGTGCCTTGACGCTCTTGTCGCTGCTGTCGCTGACTTCGCCTCTACCCGCCGCCTTGACTACGCCTCTGCTCTGGTCTCTGACCCTGCCTGTCCTCCGTCTGTCGGGGGTGCTCCTGCCCTTGGCAGTGACGTCCTGGAGGACCGCCAGTTCGAGCTTGCTTTCCTCTCCGAGGCTGCTCCCCATCTCTGTTCCATGCTGCTAGTCCCTGAGGGTGACCGAGACGCTTTCGACATCCCGACCCCTCGCACTTACGCTGAGGCGACTTCGGGACCCTGGGCCTCGCAGTGGATAGCTGCCATGGAGTAGGAGATGGCATCTTGGAGATCCACCGGCACCTTCGTCGACGCAGTTCCCCCACCTGGGGTGAACGTAGTCGATGGCCGCTGGCTCTTCAAGGTGAAGCGCCCTCCTGGAGAGCCGCCTGTCTTCAAGGCGCGCTATGTGGCTAGAGGCTTCAGTCAGCGCGAGGGGGTGGACTTCTTCCAGACCTTCGCTCCGACCCCGAAGATGACTACTCTTCGGGTTCTGTTACACCTAGCTGCTCAGCGTGACTACGAGCTTCACTCCCTCGACTTCTCCACTGCCTTCCTTCAGGGCAGCCTACACGAGCAGGTCTACCTGCGTCGCCCTCAGGGCTTCACTGGCACCTTCCCTCCTGGGACCCAGTGGCTCCTGCGGCGCCCCGTCTACGGCCTGCGCCAGGCTCCCCGTGAGTGGCACGACACTCTCCGTGCTACGCTTGCTGATCTGCAGTTCTTTCCGTCTTCCGCAGACCCTTCACTCTTCGTTCGTGCTGGCCAGACTCCGTTCTACATCTTTGTTTACGTCGACGACCTGGTCTTTGCCACAGCAGACAGGGACGCACTGGCCTCCGTGAAGGCAGAGCTGCTGAAGAGACACACGTGCACTGACCTTGGAGAACTGCGCCGTTACCTTGGCTTGTAGATCTCCAGGGACAGAGCTGCGCGCACCATCACCCTGACTCAGTCACACTTGGTGCGCCAGGTCCTTCAGAGGTTCAGCCTTCAGTTCTCCTCTGCACAGCCCACCCCTCTGCCTGTAGACCACAGACTCTCCGCTCCAGTGTCTGAGGAGTTGGTCGAGCCCAGCGGCCCCTACGCAGAGCTGGTGGGTTGCCTCATGTACCTGATGACTTGCACTCGCCCAGATCTCGCATACCCTCTCAGCATCCTGGCTCGCTTTGTGGCCACAGGCAGACACCGACCGCAGCACTGGTCTGCCGCTAAGAGGGTTCTGCGTTATCTTGCTAGTACATCGGGCATGGGGTTAGTGCTAGGAGGACGCAGGCCAGTGGTCCTTACTGGACACACAGACGCTTCGTGGGCAGACGACGCTGAGACACTCAGGTCTACCCAGGGCTACTGCTTCAGCCTTGGCTCAGGTGCCGTCTCGTGGAGAGCTACCCGCTCCTCGTCTGTTGCGCAGTCCAGCTGTGAGGCTGAGATCTACGCTGGTGCCATGGCGGCACAGGAGTTCCGCTGGCTGACCTTCTTGCTTACTGACTTAGGTGAGCGGCCTAGCTCTGCCCCGGTCCTGTTCGCTGACAACAGGGCCATGATCCTCCTGTGTCAGGAGCCTCGACTCGAGGGCAGAGCAAAGCACATTCAGCTGCGGTACTTCCTCCTGCGTGAGCTACAGCAGCGACGTCAGGCTCGCGTAGTACACTTGGCCTCAGGTGCCAACACGGCTGATATCTTTACGAAGGCGCTTGCGCCTAAAGATCATCAGCGGCACTGTGTACAGCTTGGTCTAGTTCCTGTAGCCTCTCACTTGCTAGGACCTTGACTTTGTACTGTCCTTTATATGTATACTCAGACTGGACTTGTGTCCTCTCCCAGTGGCTGGACTAGTAGTGCCGCCCTGCTCTTGTTCTTGCCTTGTCTGTACTCCTTCTGACTGGTCTCTCAGACCCTTGTCTCAGAGGTTGGACTAGTAGTGCCGCCCTGAGCTGCTTGTTTAGGACATTCCCCTATGCAGTCTAGGGGGTGTGTCAAACATGTGTATTTGTCATGTTTGTATAGACTGTATAGGGTCGTCTCCTAAAGGGTACAACACTTAGGTATATCTGTGTGTACTCTCACTCTATCATTATTCACTTCTCTAATTCTGATAAATACATCTCGGGAAATGCTCAAATTATGTGCACTCGCATTCTGCATAAAAGATAGGATTGTGGTGCAGCACGGTTGAGGCTCTAAACAGGTGCGCTGCCCCCTCTATATTCAAGAAAAAGCAATTTCTAACAAAGGCCGCAAGGTGTTTGTTCCACCAGCTATAGAAGCATCGTCCATTGCAGCCCAATCAGAGCAACTAAGAATTTCAGAGGCTTGTTCCAGTGCCACCTCTCTATCATCATCCTGCACCCCACTCGCGTCCTCTGCTCCCAATAGCACCACCAGGTAGAGTTGCTCCGCACAATGCCTTCGCACCTGTTCACACGTTGGGTCCATGGAAGACACGGGGTCTCAAATAGATGCACTGCACACATAGAATGTGCAACACGTGGAATGGCCTCGAGGCGACATGTGGAGTGACACCATTTGGGACGACACCGGACACGTGAAGCCTCTGCTGGGACATGGGAGCGACAACCAATATGCTGTAGCTGATGATTTTTCACGTGTGGCGGGAAGCATACTCACAGCGAGGAAGGGCCAAAGAGCAAGCTCACAGTGGGGAAAGGCACGGCGAGCAGCCAGAAGAGGGTGGATACGGCCTTGCGACGTGCAGCACAGCCGGGCGCAGCGAGGAGGCAGAGGAGGTCGACGGCAGCCAGCATCTTGGGCACCGACGCCGTGGGGTGCGGGTGGCGCAGCTCCGCATCCACGCCCTCCACCAGGGCCACGGGCAGCAGGGCCAGGGGGCGCGAGGGAGGTGCAGACTGGGGGGACGGCAGGCACGCACGGTGGAGGAGCGAGAAGGGCAGAATGGCATGGCGGTGGTTGCTGGGGCATGGTGCGGGCAGGGAGGGGTTGGTGAGGGCACAGGGCGTACAGCACGGAGGTGGATGGGGCGGCCATGGGCCACATGGCTTCACGCACCTTCTGTGATGCCCCGCTGTGAGCTGAAAGTGGTCCGAAGAAACTGGCCTGCAGCAGAGCAGCAATTGCCTGCAATGCGGGGCGCATGGAGGAGATCGTGGCAGCAGGATGGCACGAGGACAAGGCAGAGCACAGACACATCGCCAGGCGGACCATGACACATCGCCAGGCGGACCATGACACATCGCCAGGCGGACCATGACACATCGCCAGGCGGACCATGACACATCGCCAGGCGGACCATGACACATCGCCAGGCGGACCATGACACATCTCCAGGCGGACCATGACACATCGCCAGGCAGACCATGACACATCCCCAGGCGGTTGGGGAACACAGCGACAAGACAAACAGGATGAATTCAAGCAAAGCACATGGCGTAGAATGCAAGGTGTGCAGTCAGGGATGAAAACATGCATGAGAGCCGAGCATGGCGCACGTGGAAAGTACGAGGCACAAGGCAATCGAAGGCAAAGAAGCATGGCCGGCATCCATTTCTGACATCATTGCACGTCTTGCTACCAAGTGACACGAAGGCTGTTCCCAGCTAAAACAGCAGCGGTTTACCTTGATATACGGAACGATGACTCGTTTTTGCTTCCGGTATCGCCTGAGCAGCACCACCACATCCGCTGCTATGCACCCCTGCACCTCCTCCCTCTGCCTCTCACCTCCCCTTTCTCCTGCCTCCCCCTCCCCCCCACCCGCCCCTGTGAGTGCGAGTAGGGCGTGCAGGGCGGCGGGGGCGAGGGGGTGCGAGAGAGAGCCAGCTGAGAGCAGCAGCCCGGAGAGCAGCGGCAGGCGGTACGCGGGGAGGAGGAGGAGAGGGGCGATGCGGGGGAAGACAGACGTGGGATCCTGACAGGGGAAAGAGGGCATGGATGGAGGTGAAAGAAGTTGCAGCAAGCAGCGAAGCAGCCCTGAGCATAGCAGAGGCGACCAGTGAGAGCAGAACAGAGCAGCGCACAGCCCATGGCCTACCATCCAGTTGAAGTGCGGGTCGGAGGGCACATGCCGCCTCAGCTGCTGCCATCCGTCCACGTCCCTGCACACACCACTCCCTGCCTCGTTGGCCCCTGCGTTCCGCCTGACACCACCTCCTCCTCCTCTCCCCTCGCTGTCCTCCAGCGCTGTCTCCTGGGTCCCACCGCCAGTGTGCCGTGCCACTGCTGTCGCTGCTGTCTCGCTTGTCTGTGCTGCCGCTGCACTCTGCGTCCCCCCGTCCCCCCACAGCAGGCGCTGCAGCCCGTGCCCCGCCACCTGCCGCGTGCCGTCGATCTTCTCCCCCGCCTGCTTCAGCAGCGCGCCCACCACCCTCCCCGCCACCGCTCTGCACCACTCTTGCAGGCTAACCTGCCGCGGCTGGGGAGAGGAGGCGTTGAGTGGTGTGGCAGCAGGAGTTGTGCCATGTGCGTGCCTTCCCCCCTGCATGCCCCGCTCCGCCCCCTTGTCGCTTTCTCCCGCCCCACACCATCTGTACACCTGCTCCACCCACGCCACCAGCGCCTTCATGGAAGCTTCCCTCACCAGCCTGCCCACATCGCCCCTCTGGTCCTCCGTGTAATCCTCGGCTGCTTGTAACAGTGCGGTTACCACATTCTCACCGCCCACCTTTCCCTCCCACCCCCCATGTACTTCTGAGTCACTCTCGCTGCTCTCCAGAGCCCCCTTCTCCCCATTCTCCTGCTGCTTCCCCTCCTCCGCCCCGTCTCCCCCGCCCCTCCCCCCGCCCCCAGCCTGCAGGATGGCGACCAGCGTGGCAGCGCTGCCCAGCGCCTCCACTGCCGCCGCCCTCACCGCCACGTCCGTCACGCCGCGACGGTCCCGCTGCAGGGGAAGGGGGAGGGTGGGCCGTTTGGAGGCCGCGGTGGTGGACCGAGGGCGAGTGATGGGTGGTTAGAGAAAGTGAAGGGATGTGGGGGACGAGAACGTTGATGCAGAGGATGAGGCTGCATCTTAAGGAAGGTCGAGAGCGAGTAAAGAAGGGCGGGATGGAGGGAGGGACGAGGTGAAGATGCATGGCCCACTCACATTGTCTGTGGCAGCCGCACACAGCGCCTTCACCACTCGTGCCGCCAGCTCTCGCCTCAACCTCTCACTCTCATCCTCCCCTCCCGCATCCCCTCTCCCCTCCACCTCCTCCTCCCCTTTCCTCCCCCCTTCCTCATGCCCTCTATTCTCCTGTCCCGCTCCCTGCCCCTGTGCGTCCGTGCCAGTTCCCTGGGAGTGAGGCACAGACGCGAAGGTCCACGAGGGGCGGAGGCACGGCAGGAAGCACTGCAGCGCCAGCACAGCGCCTCGCCTCACACTGGCTGCTGAGCTGGCAGCCTCCAGAATCGCCACGTGGCGAGCTACTATTTGCTGGGCGAGGTGAGTGCGGGCAGGGGCGGGCTGGTAGCGGGTGAGATCCCACAGGGCTGCTGCTGCCGCCTCCTGCACCGACGACACGAAGCGCGCCCGCGCACACTGGGTGGAGGGGGGGGGGGGGTGGGGAAGAAGGAGAAGAGGCGAGTGGCAGGAAGGAAGTGAGAGGCTAAAACAGAGCATCAGGCTGATGGCATAGGGGGTTTGTGCTGTTGCAGTGCCACCATGCTGTGACGTGTGTGCTGTTGCAGTGTCACCATGCTGTGACGTGTGTGCTGTTGCAGTGTCACCATGCTGTGACGTGTGTGCTGTTGCAGTGTCACCATGCTGTGACGTGTGTGCTGTTGCAGTGTCACCACGCTGTGACGTGTGTGCTGTTGCAGTGTCACCATGCTGTGACGTGTGTGCTGTTGCAGTGCCACCATGCTGTGACGTGTGTGCTGTTGCAGTGCCACCATGCTGTGACGTGTGTGCTGTTGCAGTGCCACCATGCTGTGACGTGTGTGCTGTTGCAGTGCCACCATGCTGTGACGTGTGTGCTGTTGCAGTGCCACCATGCTGTGACGTGTGTGCTGTTGCAGTGCCACCATGCTGTGACGTGTGTGCTGCCTCAACTCTTCGCTCAAACCCCTCGCCAATCCCCACCATCCCTCTCCCCTTCCCCCCCTCACCTCCAGCGTGCCCCCATCGCCCCCCAGCATGTCCTGCACACATGAAGTGGCGGCGCTGAGAGCAGAGGCGGGCAGCACCACATGGGCGCGCGGCAGAGCGGTGGCGAGCGCAGAAAGCAGGCAGCAGGACGCCACCTTGAGGTCAGCGGCCAGGCGCCCGCGGAAGGAGCGTGGGGCGAGCAGGCGAGGGAGGGAGGAGGCGAGGGAGGAGAGGGCGTCGGTGAGCAGGGGGGAGGGGGGGCATGCAGAGAGGGGCAGTAGGAGAGCGGCGGTGGCGAGGAGGGCGCCGTGGCGGGAGGGGGGGTCGGGGGAGGAAAGGAGGGGCAGCAGGTTGTGCTGTAAGAGCGCGAGCAGGCGGGGCGGGTCGAGGGGGGCCATGGAGGCAAGGGAGTCGGCTGCGAGGCAGCGGATGTTCCGGTCCCAGTGGCGCGTGCAGGCTGCAAGCTTCAGCAGCACCTGCTCCCTGTACTCGGGGTACCCCGCCACGAATAGTGCCACCTGGGGGCGGGGAGGACAGGCGAGAGGAGAGGAGGTGAGGGCAAGTGCAGTGACGGGGCACACCTTACCATGGCTCAGATGCACGTGCATGCGAGGAAGATGCACATGCATGCAAGGAAGATGCACATGCATGCGAGGAAGATGCAGATGAGGATGGCGGAGGTTGAGCGCCTGTCTCAGCGCCTCTCACTCACCTGGGTGAACGCCATGCGAGTGGACGCCAGCGATGCCACGTCAGCAGCATTCACAATGGCTATCCCCCCCGCTGGCACCCACTGCTCGTCCCTGTGTGAACCACTCCCATCCGCTCCTGCCCCAACTCCTTGAGCGCCTGTACTTGGCCTGTTGCTCTTATCACCAGCATCAACAGCAGCTGCGGCAGCAGCCGCGGCAGCAGCGTGCGGCGTGCCTCTGGAGGTGGGCGTGGCGAGCGCGTGGGCGTCGGAGATGCAGCCGAAGCGACCCACCACCTCCTGGAAGGCCGCTGCTGCCGCCCACCGGCACTTCACCTGGGGCACGGGGAGTGGGGCAAGGGGCATGGCAGGGAAGGGCAGGCGTGAACGGAAGACAATGGAGGGCACAGGGAGGCAGGAAGGGAGGGGATGCAGGAGCCAGCAAGAGCAGTCCACACGAGTCCCACAGACCCAGCTAGTGGCAGCACTGACACACCTGGCGGTCGCAGCAGGCGACGGCGAGGAGGTGCGGGCAGAGCTGCTGCAGGGAGGCAGCGGCAACGGCGGGCGAGAAGGAGTGCGCAATGGCCCAGCACACGTAGGCCGCTGCATCCCGCACATGCGCTCCTATGCCGTGCGCCCCCCGCAACACCTCGTAGTGCAGCGCCTTGGGAAGGGGAGGAGAGAGGGCAAGGGGCACGGGGGAGAGAGGAGGAAGAGCAGAAAGGAGGATGAGAGAAGGAGGAGGAAAGGACGAGAAGACGAGGGCATGAAGATACAGCTTGACGAGGAGAGGTTGCAGGGGTGATGCCATGCTGCAGAGGGATGAGGAGAGCCTCCAGCCATACAGTGACGAGGAGCGGCGTGACGGAGTGCAGGCGCGAGGGCAGCAGCAGGCCCCTGGCAGCCAGCTCAGCGAGGGCCAGGCACACACCCTGCCACGCACTGTCGGACGGCAGCTGGGGGGGCAGGGGGTAGGGGGGGGGTGGGTGGGGTGGGGAGAGGAGGATGGGAGTGAAGGGATGGAAATGAGCTGGCAGCGAAGCGAACTGCACGAAGATAGAAGCAGCAGTGACTCGGGGACCAAGCAGAGCAGGCAGGCAACAGCATGCTGGCATTGCGAATTCACCTCGTGCACGTCCACCATGGCTGTGCCTCACCTCCTCGGGGTCCACCATGGCTGGGCCTCACCTCCTCGGGGTCCACCATGGCTGTGCCTCACCTCCTCGGGGTCCACCATGGCTGTGCCTCACCTCCTCGGGGTCCACCATGGCTGTGCCTCACCTCCTCGGGGTCCACCATGGCTGTGCCTCACCTCCTCGGGGTCCACCATGGCTGTGCCTCACCTCCTCGGGGTCCACCATGGCTGTGCCTCACCTCCTCGGGGTCCACCATGGCTGTGCCTCACCTCCTCGGGGTCCACCATGGCTGTGCCTCACCTCCTCGGGGTCCACCATGGCTGTGCCTCACCTCCTCGGGGTCCACCATGGCTGTGCCTCACCTCCTCGGGGTCCACCATGGCTGTGCCTCACCTCCTCGGGGTCCACCATGGCTGTGCCTCACCTCCTCGGGGTCCACCATGGTGATCACTGCCGCCACCACTTCATCCGCCATGCCAGCTGGCAAACCACCCACCACCCGAGACAGGCCGCGTGCTGCTGCCCAGCGCACATCCGTTGACTGGCGGGGAGGGGGGGGAAGGAAAAGGAGGTGGGGAACGGGGAGGGGAGGCAGGAGACATTGACGAGTGTGGCAGAGTGCTGGCGGCTTCATGCCGCAGCGCTCACCTCCCACTGCCCCACTCACCCCCCACTGCCCCACCCACCCCCCACTGCATTCACCTTGTGCTTCAGCATGGGCAGCAGCTCCCCCACCGCCTCCTCCACCAGCTCTGCTACCTCCCCCTCCTCCTCCTCCCCCTCCTCCTCCTCCCCCCCCTCCTCCGCCTCGCTCTGCCCCTGCTTTCTCTCCTCGTGTTCCGCCCCTCTCACATCTCCCTCCACCCCCTGTTCCGCGCCTGCACTCGCGGCACCTTGTGGTGCTGGCGATGGCGTGGGGGAGGGGGCGAGAGAGGGGGCGTCCACCCGGTGAATGTTGCGCTGGCAGGGGCACGGGGCGGACAGAGCAAGCATTAGGCGTTCTGGATGACCAGAACCCACCGACTCTCGTACCTAGCCATGAGGTGATGCGGCCCTACCTGGTAGCGCCACGAAGGCATGCGTGGTGGCAGCAGCGCGAGGGCGAGGCGGTGCAGCAGCTTGACGAGGGCGAGGGACACGTGCAGCGAGGTCGGGGGGGCGGCGGAGGGGGGGGAGAGGAGGTGGTGGAGGGGCAAGCGTTGGTGGGTGGCGTGGAGTGGAGGAGGGGGAGGAGGACGGTGGTCCAGACAGGGTGTGCATGGTGGGTGAGCTCGGCACGCGGGGCTGTCTGCACGCACACAGAGGGGGGGGGAGTGGGGGGCAGAAGAGACAGGCGACAGGGCAAGGGGCAATGGCGGGTGAAGGGGGAAGAGGGGAGGTGTGGTGGAAATTTGGTTGTTGTTGTGGAGGCATGAGGCCCGTTCGAGGCATGAGGCCCGTTCAAGGCAGGATGGCGAGGGGCAGGATGGCGAGGGGCAGGAGGCAGGCGCACCTTGAAGACAGCAGCGAGGGTGAGCACCACGTTGGCCAGCAGCTCATCGGGGAACGATGCCGGCCCCGCCACCAGCAGCGCTGGCCCCTCAGCCACGGCTGGCGGACCATCTGGCAGTGCGGCCGGCAAGGGCGGGGTGGCGGAGAGCGACGCCACGAGGCGGCGACTCTCGTCCATGAACCAGGAGAGCGCCGGCTTCATCTCGGGGCGTGAGAGCAGGCGCGCGAGCATGAGGGGCGCGGGCAGGCGGCGGTTGGGCAGGGAGGAGAGGCACACGCGCAGCAGCACGTCTGACAGCGAGCACCCTTCTGAGAAGCTTCCTTCCCATGCGGCGGTGGGGAGGGGCAAGAGATCATGGAGGAGGCGGACAGACCCCGACGACGCTGCTGGCGCTGCCGCTGCTGCCGCTGGTTGCAGGGAGTGGGGGCGGGGGGGGGCGAAGAGAGAGGAGTCGAGGGAGGCGAGGGAGAAGGGCAGCAGCAGCAGGTGCGAGAGCCACGAGAGCAGCGCGTAGTGCACGCGCCACTGCTCCAACGCCTCCAGCGCCACCACCCCCTCGCTCCGCCCCTGCCAGGGGCGCACGGGAGGGGTGAGCCGAGGGGGGGGAGGGGGGAGCAGGGGGGGAGACGGACGTAGGGGCGGACATGGTTCATGGGTGGCATTGCGGTGGACTGGGAGTCAACCCCGTGCCATGGGAGTGCCATTCTGCCTGCATGCATATCACGCCTCCTGCATCCCTGCGCGCCGCGTCCCTGCACACTACCTGCAGCGGCGGGGGCGAGAGGCGGCGCACGAGCAGCAGCAGCGCGAGGGCGGGCTCGAGGTGGGAGGGCGCGTTGGGGAGGAAGCGGCAGACGACCTTGGGCCCGCGCACGTACGCCAGCACCTGCACCACGCACGCCGCCCCCGTCACCTCGCCCACCATCCGCTGCGCCTCCGCCTCCCCCATCACCCGCTCAACCCGCTCCTCCCCCGCGGAACCTCCGTTGAGCGCGGATGGCAGCGCGGCGGCGGCGGCAAGCGCGTGGGCGGTGAGGCACGCCATGGCGGGCGCGAGCAGCGCGGCGAGGTGCGGATCCAGCAGCTCCGGCTGCTCGCGGTACTTGGCGCACTGCGCCCAGGGGGGGGGGGGGGGGGGGGGAGGGGGGGTAGTTGGGGGGTGTTGGGGAAATGTGCGAGGGATGCATGAACGGATGGGCGGTGACGGGAAAGAGACGTTGCCATGGCTCACAGTCGGACGGCGGAGGGAGTGTGCACGCATGGGAGGCAGCACGAGTGGCGGCGCAACGAGCCCTTCGCGACTGCTGCACTCTCATTCACAGATTCATGACTACTCGATTTGCGAGCTACGAGCTACGAGCTACGAGCTACGAGGTACGAGCTGCAAGCTGCGAGCTGCGAGCTGCGAGCTGCGAGCCGTACGATGGATTCGAATCGGAGGAGGACTGCGGCGCGCGGATCGTCGCGCATCTCCCCGTCGTCAGCCGCCCGCCCTCGATCCTCCTCCCCCTCCACCTCGGCAATCCCAAGATTCGACACACCGCCTTGCACCGGTCCTAACCGATCCGTCTGCGCGCACGGCACGAGCAGGGCGACGAGGCGCTGCAGCTCGCTCGCCTCCTCGAGGAACGACAACTCGCAGCTGTCGCCCCCGCCGTCGCCCTCGTCGCCAGCCGTCGCATCGTCGTCGCGGGCCATGGCTGCACGCCTCGCACTGACCTGGGCTTACTAGATTCCGTCGATCGTGGAGATCGTGGTGGCTTCACTGAAACGCGGCTACTGAACCAGCTATACCTGCTCTGCAAATCGGGTTACCGTATCTTTCGCAGGAAGAACAGTACTGTACTGTATTCTCGAGACCTGCACTACCTTGGCGGGGCCCTCGAAATCGCGAATGCAGAAATGGTTCTGTTTGGGATTGCCGAGCCAACCTTCCTCAACCCCCTTTTGACTGCAACATCGCTTCACTGCATTTGAGTTTCGGCCTCGAGCAGCAAACTAGAGCGTTCTTCCGAGCACTCACCGCGAGATACCCGTTCCGCCGTCCAGCACGCGCAGCACGGCAGCGTCGGTCGCGGACATGGTGGCGACATGTTCAGCCGCCCGCATTGCGGGAACTTGCCACGCGACCCACGCCAAGGCGCCTAGAGCCAGCCATAGCCAGCCGTTATCGTCGCGCGTGGCGGCACTGAACGCGCCGTGTCTGACTGGCCTCAGACGGATCGCATCTCCGAGAGAAAGCCGCGACTTTGCGGTGTCCGTCCGATCGAGCGCGCGGGTAGCGATGGTGAGCTGCGAGTGAGGAGGCCAGAGGGATCGTTACTAGTGATCTGATCCCGACCAGAAAGCTGTAGTTGGTGGAAGGAAACGCCCACGGCCGAATGGGAGATGGCGCGCAAGCACGTCGGGCAGATGCATTCACGCAACGCGCTTCCGATTTGTTTCCCCGTTGCGCTGATCCCACGGCATGGTGTGGTATGTCGCATGACACGACGTGTCACGTGATGACGTGGCATGGCATGGTGTGCGGTGCGCCATGGCAGGCAGCAGCGGGGTCCGCGGCGTCCAGGCGCGAGCTGCCGTTCAGCAAGTACCAGGGCATCGGCAACGACTTCATCCTCGTCAGTCCCTCCCCTGCCTCCCGCTACCAAAGCTCTCCTCTCTGCTGCTGCTGCTGCTGCGTCCCACCCTTGATCCCAATGCTGCTGCTTCTGCGTCCCACCCTTGATCCCATTGCTGCTGCTTCTGTTTCTGCTGCTTGCCCACAATCATGCCATCATGCCATCATGCCATCATGCCATCATGCCATCAGGCCATCATGCCATCATGCCATCATGCCATCATGCCATCATGCCATCATGCCATCATGCCATCATGCCATCATGCCATCATGCCATCATGCCATCATGCCATCATGCCATCATGCCATCATGCTATCATGCCATCATGCCATCATGCCATCATGCCATCATGCCATCATGCCATCATGCCATCATGCCATCATGCCATCATGCCATCAGGCCATCATGCCATCATGACATCATGCCGCATCCCCCATGCCTTTCCATGTGCCTCGTTGCCCGACCCTGCCAGGTGGACAACCGCCATTCGTCGGAGCCGTTGGTGTCACAGGAGGAGGCGGCGCGGCTGTGCGACCGCAACTTCGGCGTGGGGGGCGACGGGGTGATCTTCCTGCTGCCAGGCGCGCAGGGCGCCGACTACTCCATGCGCATCTTCAACAGCGACGGCTCCGAGCCCGAGGTCAGCTCCATGGCCGCTCACGGCAGCGAGCACGAGGCGCACAATGCAGGAGGGTAGTACACCGGGATAGTCAGCACACAAGCCGCATGTCCCCTGGCCACTGGATGCTCGCACTTGTGGCACCACACGAGAATGCACCCAGCACGTGCTCTTATTTAGTACTGTTTGCTGCGCCGCCCCCCTCCATGCGTCCGTCCCATGGCAGATGTGTGGCAACGGCATCCGCTGCTTGGCGCGCTTCATCGCTGACGCCACCAACTCGCAGGGCACGCAAACGTAAGCTTTTTCTTCTATCTATGCCTCAACCGCTCTCTCTGGTTTTGTACTCTTTCCTTCCCTCGCCACGTCTCTCACTCTTGTTTCTTCTCTCCATCCCCCCCCCCTCCTGGCAGCATATCCATATCCACGCTGGCCGGCGTGATGCAGGCACACATGCGCGCAGATGGCCAGGTGGGGCTGATTCACCAAGACTTTAGCTCAAGCCTCAAGGCCGTTCTGCTGCCTGCTGTCCTCTCCCTAGAGGCTGCGCCGTGCAACCGCTCACACAGGCATCACTCCTTTGAGCCCCATGGGCTGCAGGGGCTCCACCCTCACCCTGCACCTTCCCACCTCCAACCATTGCACGCACGCGTCTGCACTTCCCAACTCTGCCGCTCTTCCCACCTCGATCTCTCCGACAATCCCTTCACGTTACCCACCCCCACCCCCCTTTCTCCCCCCGCCCCCCGCCACTGTCCGGGGCGCCAGGTGCGCGTGGACATGGGCGAGCCCATCCTGGCGCCCGCGCTCATCCCCACGCTGCTGCCCGCTACCTCCCCTGAGGGCGCCGTGGTGCGCGCGCCGCTGGAGGTGGACGGGGTGACGTGGCAGGTGACGTGCGTGAGCATGGGCAACCCGCACTGCATCACCTTCAGCAGCTCCGCCAGCCCCGAGGTACTGAATGTATGGCGGGCAGTGCTGTATGGCAGGCAGTGCTTTCGAGGTACTGAATGTATGGCGGGCAGTGCTGTATGGCAGGCAGTGCTTTCGAGGTACTGAATGTATGGCGGGCAGTGCTGTATGGCGGGCAGTGCTTTCGAGGTACTGAATGTATGGCGGGCAGTGCTTTCGAGGTACTGAATGTATGGCGGGCAGTGCTTTCGAGGTACTGAATGTATGGCGGGCAGTGCTTTCGAGGTACTGTATGGCGAGCAGTGCTTTCGAGGTACTGTATGGCAGGCAGTGCTTTCGAGGTACTGTACGGCGGGCAGTGCTTTCGAGGTACTGTATGGCGGGCAGTGCTTTCGAGGTACTGTATGGCAGGCAGTGCTTTCGAGGTACTATATGGCAGGCAGTGCTTTCGAAGAATGCTGATGTGAGAGTGACAGAGGGATAGGAATGGGTTGACCACTCCGACGTGTGGAGGCACGGGATGCATCCCAGGTGCTATGCTGTACACGTGAACACCCCACGGCCTGCATCCCCAGGCGCAATGCAGACCATGTCGTATTCCCGATGTCGTGCGTGCTGCGGCGCTGACTGGTGGCCATGACACCACCACCACCACCACCACCACCACCACCACCACCACCACCACCACCACCACCACCACCACCACCGCCACCGCCACCGCCCACCGCCCACCGCCCACCGCCCACCGCCCACCGCCAACCGCCAACCGCCAACCGCCAACCGCCAACCGCCAACCGCCAACCGCCCACCGCCCACCGCCCACCGCCCACCGCCCACCGCCCACCGCCCACCGCCCACCGCCCACCGCCCACCGCCCACCGCCCACCGCCCACCGCCCACCGCCCACCGCCCACCGCCCACCGCCCACCGCCCACCGCCCACCGCCCACCCACTGCCCACCGCCCACCGCTCCTCCGCTGCCTGTGCTGATATTGCCATGACCCACCCCTTGCCATGACCAACCCCCCAGGGGCTGGACGTGGCCAGCATCGATCTGCACCGCATTGGACCCATGTTTGAGAATCACCCCGCCTTCCCCGCTCGCACCAACACAGGTCAGACTTCCTCCCTCCCTGCTGCACCTGCTTCCAGCGTTATGCTCGCTCCATATCGTGCCCCTGCTTCCAGCGTTATGCTCGCTCCATATCGTGCCCCTGCTTCCAGCGTTATGCTCGCTCCATATCGTGCCCCTGCTTCCAGCGTTATGCTCGCTCCATATCGTGCCCCTGCTTCCAGCGTTATGCTCGCTCCATATCGTGCCCCTGCTTCCAGCGTTATGCTCGCTCCATATCGTGCCCCTGCTTCCAGCGTTATGCTCGCTCCATATCGTGCCCCTGCTTCCAGCGTTATGCTCGCTCCATATCGTGCCCCTGCTTCCAGCGTTATGCTCGCTCCATATCGTGCCCCTGCTTCCAGCGTTATGCTCGCTCCATATCGTGCCCCTGCTTCCAGCGTTATGCTCGCTCCATATCGTGCCCCTGCTTCCAGCGTTATGCTCGCTCCATATCGTGCCCCTGCTTCCAGCGTTATGCTCGCTCCATATCGTGCCCCTGCTTCCAGCGTTATGCTCGCTCCATATCGTGCCCCTGCTTCCAGCGTTATGCTCGCTCCATATCGTGCCCCTGCTTCCAGCGTTATGCTCGCTCCATATCGTGCCCCTGCTTCCAGCGTTATGCTCGCTCCATATCGTGCCCCTGCTTCCAGCGTTATGCTCGCTCCATATCGTGCCCCTGCTTCCAGCGTTATGCTCGCTCCATATCGTGCCCCTGCTTCCAGCGTTATGCTCGCTCCATATCGTGCCCCTGCTTCCAGCGTTATGCTCGCTCCATATCGTGCCCCTGCTTCCAGCGTTATGCTCGCTCCATATCGTGCCCCTGCTTCCAGCGTTATGCTCGCTCCATATCGTGCCCCTGCTTCCAGCGTTATGCTCGCTCCATATCGTGCCCCTGCTTCCAGCGTTATGCTCGCTCCATATCGTGCCCCTGCTTCCAGCGTTATGCTCGCTCCATATCGTGCCCCTGCTTCCAGCGTTATGCTCGCTCCATATCGTGCCCCTGCTTCCAGCGTTATGCTCGCTCCATATCGTGCCCCTGCTTCCAGCGTTATGCTCGCTCCATATCGTGCCCCTGCTTCCAGCGTTATGCTCGCTCCATATCGTGCCCCTGCTTCCAGCGTTATGCTCGCTCCATATCGTGCCCCTGCTTCCAGCGTTATGCTCGCTCCATATCGTGCCCCTGCTTCCAGCGTTATGCTCGCTCCATATCGTGCCCCTGCTTCCAGCGTTATGCTCGCTCCATATCGTGCCCCTGCTTCCAGCGTTATGCTCGCTCCATATCGTGCCCCTGCTTCCAGCGTTATGCTCGCTCCATATCGTGCCCCTGCTTTCTGGTGTCAAGTAGTTCCTCCCCTGGCATCCACTCCATGTCACTGTACCATTCCTCTCCACTGCCCCCCACCATCCATTCCTCATCCGCCCCCCATCCCCAATCCCCCATCTGCCATACCCCATGCGCCATCTCCCACCTCCCATCCCCCATCCCCCATCCCCCATCCCCCATCCGCCATCCCCCACCTCCCATCCCCCATGCGCCATCCCCCATGCGCCATCCGCCATCCGTCATGTATGGCACTCCAGAGTTTGTGGAGGTCATATCGCGCAACGAGCTCCGCATGCGAGTTTGGGAGCGAGGGGCAGGTCAGCCCTCTCACCCATCTTTTACCCACCCTTGTGCTGCTACTGCCGCAATCGCATTTTGATTTCTCTGATTCCCCAGTCTCCCATTGCCACACACTGGCACCTGCCCTCACATTCTCTCGCCCCCCTCCCCTCGCCCCACCAGGCCCCACCCTAGCGTGTGGCACGGGCACATGCGCGCTCGTGGTGGCGGCTGTGCTGGAAGGCCGCGCCGAGCGGGTGAGTCAAGGGGATGAGGGGGACTGAGTGAGGGTGGTTATGTGAGTGATCGAGGAGAGAGACTGACAAAAATGAGCGAGTAAGGCTGTGCGTGGCCCTCAGCGCATGGCAAGCTGGGCTTCACTCACACTCACTCTCACACTCACTCTCACACTCACTCTCACACTCACTCTCATTTTCTCCCTCCACTGTGCCTTAAAGCCCTATCCCACTCGTTCGTATGGTTTCGTCTGGTGCGGAATTTTCCAAAGCGTTGAAATGGAAAAATTTTCTCCACCGTGTGGTACCCTTCTGAACCGTGGCACATAAACGCACGAGCTGGACATGCCCTTACCATGGTGCCTGCACTCTGATGCTGTCACTCGCATGTCGCTCCATGTCCCCATCTCCCCCCCCACCGCGCCTCTCAGAGCTGCCTGGTGCATCTGCCGGGCGGCCCGCTGGAGATAGAGTGGCGGGAGGAGGACAACCGCATCCACATGACGGGCCCCGCTGATCTCGTCTTCGCCGGCACCGTTGTGCTCTAGTCACAACACGAGCATTGGCGATGGCGGCTGCTAGAGCGGTGCTTGCAGGCCTGTGATAAGGCTACGAGGGGCTCACAACAGTGCTGGGGCACTGCTGCGAGGTGCTGCGTGCTGCTGTCTGCCTCGACGTGGATAACATGCATTGAGTTTAGCTTTTGTGGGCAAGATAAATATTGCAGGAGCTTATGAATGACATACATCGGTGTATGGTATACAGCGTTATCTGATTCACATGCCAAGAGCTTGCTCTAGATATTCTTGTTGCTCCGCTTCACCTGGCAGCTGGTTCCACTGCAGCCCGCGCAGCACAAGACAACCAGGGCACAAGGGCAGGGGAACCGGGATCAAGAGGTGTGCAGTGGCATACATGGTACAAGGAGATGAACATACATACATGATGGGATGGGATGGAGCGACTGGTAGAAGGGGATGGAGCGACATACATGGTAGAAGGGGATGGAGAGACATACATGGTAGAACAGGATGGAGCGACATACATGGTAGAAGGGGATGGAGCGACATACATGGTAGAAGGGGATGGAGCGACATACATGGTAGAAGGGGATGGAGCGACATACATGGTAGAAGGGGATGGAGACGACTGTCCAGCCAGCAGCCTCCAGATGGCGCCGCTTGAGAGCTGTGGAGCCCAGAGGAGTCACTGCAGGGGCGCGCGGGCATGGGATGGGGTGGGGCAGGGCAGAGAGGACAGAGCGGAGGCGGCAGAGTAAAGAGGGCAGCACAGGGCAGGGCAGGAGGAAGGTGGGCACAAGGCAACGAAGAGATGGTAGACGAAGGCAAGGGGCGAGTCCGCGGAGGGCAGAAAGGCGCATCGCACATGTGTTGCGTGTGAAGTGCGAGGGCCCGTCCACCTCCAGAGCAATGCGTGTGGCGGGCAGGGCGATGTCGATGGAGTAGTGCCACACCTCCGCCGACGAGTACTCCGACGCCCACCCCGTGTCCCCACCCCATCGCCCCTCCTCCTCACCTCCCTCCTCTCCCTCCTCCCCTCCTCTTACCCCCTCGCCCCCCCTCCACGCCACGAGCCCCATGGCCTGCAGAGCCCGCTCCACCTCTCGGTGGCTCGCCGGCTTCCCCTTCGCCCGCCGCGCCTCTCGCTGCCACACCCGGGCGCCCTCCTCCCACACCCACTCCGCCTCCTCCACACCCGCCCCCTCCACCCCTCCCCCACTCCTATTGCCCGCATCTGCCTTTCCTCTCGCCTCTCCACTCCCCCCAGCACGCGCCTCCTCACCCTCTTTCCCCCGCGCCTCGCCTCCCCCCCTCTCCGCCCTGAGCGTCACTGCCGCTTGAAACAGCTGACTCAAATGCCGCTCTCCCACACGCGTCCCTCCTGCCCCTTCCGGTTCCTCCCCCCCTCCCCCTCCCTCGTCTTCCCCCCCACAGAACTCCGCCCTCCGCCGTGCCACCTCCCCCCAGAGCGCGTGGAAGAGCGCCCCTTGAGTGTGCTGCAGCACGGCCAGCGCCCACACGCTGTTGGCCAGCTGCTGGGGGGACCACGAGGGCAGCGAGGACAACGGGCAGGGGGGCGGAGGGGAGAAGGCAGTCATGTGCAGCTGGTTGTGGGCGCGGGGGAGCGGGGATGGGGAGAAGGAGGCGGCGGCGCGGTTGAGGGCGTGGGAGAGGGCGGGGGGCAGCGGGTGGTGGAGCGTGGCGAAGGCCCACAGCAGCTGCGACAGCTCGTGGGGGGACAGCACACCGCACACGGGGGGCGGGGAAGGGGGGCGCGTGAATGAGGGCGGGGAGGGGGGGAGCGCGCAGCAGGCTTGGAGGGCGAGGGCAGGGAGGAGGGCGGAGGGCGGGAGGTGGCGGGCGAGAGCGAAGGCAGCGGCGACGTTGGCCACGTGCTGGGAGGTGAGGGAGTGCTGCACACGCAGCACCGCGGCCGCTATCAGGTCAAACTCCTCGGAATACACCCACGTGCGCCCACCGCCCCCGCCTCCACCCACCTCCCCCTGTGCTTTCCCCCCACCAGCCATGTCCCCCGCCCCTCCCCCCGTGCCGCCAATGCGGGCGAGCGCCCAGGCGAGGTTGGAGAGGGTCTGCGCGTTGCAGTGAGCGGCGCGCACAGCGGGGAGGGCGGCGGCCACGAGCAGGCGCAGAGGCGGCGAGAGAGCCAGGGCCAGGCGGGACGAGGGGGACACGCCCTCCGCTTGCATGTGGCGTGCAATGCGGTGCAGAGCGGTGACGGCGTTGATGGGAGAGAAGAGAGCGCATGCTGCTGCTGACTCCCACTTTCTCTCCATCGCCCTCCTCTCCTCCTCCCACTTCTCCCACTCGCGCTCTTCTTCCCCCAGTCCCTCCCCCTCCTCCTTCCCCTTCCCACCAGCCCCCCATCCCCCATGCCCCTCCCTATGCGCCCGTGCTCTGCTCCGCCTTCCCCCTTTCCCGCCACCCCGCACCTTCCCGTCAACCCCCCCTTTGCCCTTCTCTGCACCCGGCGCGCTCCACTCAGGGCGCGGGGGCAGGCGAGCCATCTCATTGGCCACCACCTGCATGACGTCAGCAAGGCATGTGGCCGCCACGAGCCTTCGGTTCAGAGCTGCCGCACCCCCTGATGCTGTCGTCAGCAGCAATGGCGACGGCAACGGCGACGGCGAAGGCGGCGGTAGTTGCGAGTGCGACGGCTGGTCGGTGCCAGAGCCCATGTCGCCCGCCCTGCCACCGCCTTCGCTGCTCTCACTGCTCGTGCTCCCCCCTCCCCCTCCCCCCTTCCCCCGCGCCTCACTGTGCGCCTGCGAGGCTCGTCGCACGGAGAGCAGGCGCTGGGCGAGAGAGGGGGAGGCGGCGCCTTGTGAGGGTTGGTGAAGTGGGTGCTGGGAAGACCCTGGCGTGCGCGCCTCTCTGCTCTCTTCCACCATCCGCCCTGCCGCCTGGTCGCTGTCGCTCTCGCTTCCCCATCCAGCGCTGCGCATTCCCCCATCCCCGATCTCCTCGCTATCATCAACTGCCCGCACCACTTCCGCCTGCGCCCTTCCGACCTCTCCGCCCCGCAACCCCACACCGCCATGCGCTGCTCCTCTTCCCCGCTGAAGCGCGCCGACGGCAACAACAGGCAAAGAGCGGCGGGGGGAGGCGGAGTGGGCGGAAAGGAAAGGGGAATGGGGGGGGAGAGCGGGGGAGGGAGGGGGAGCGGGGCAGCAGACGGCGTGCAGCGGGCCCAGCGGCGGCATGGCGAGGCGCGGCGGCGCGGAATGGGAGTGCAGGTGGCTGGGCTGCCGTTGCGTGGCGGGCGGGAGACGGGCGAGCAGCAAGGCGACGGGCTGGGCAGCGCAGGGCAGGGGGCAGGTGTGCGGCGATCAGGAATCTTAGGTGCGACATTTTGCCCAGAGATGACGGGTCCAAGATGACAGGGTGGTGGTATTCGGTTCGCTACGGTACAGTGTGGTGCATCCAAAGCAATCACTTACCCTTGCGACACAACATCGCGTGTGGATTTCGTCCAACACAGCAGTTTCGTCCAATCCCAAGGCCCACTTGTCGCCTCTCCGCACCCCATTCCCCAGCCTTCCTCCACCGCGATTCAGCGCCTCCGCGGTCGTCGGCGCCCAGCTTTCCCTTCAAGTCGGCAGTCCGCGCACATTCCACGCGCACGCATCTGAGCCGTCGTCGTCAGTCGAGTCGAGGGTCGCTACGGCCGAAGGGGGTGCCGTGAGGCGCGCCGTCGGCCTACTGCAGCACCGCAGCACGCCGCCGCGCAGGCAGGCGCGGGCGCTGGCGGTGGCGAGGTGCAGGCGCACGGCCCGACGCAGCGAGACGCGGCGAGCGGTGGAGCGGCGGGGTGGGCTTGACTGAGCGAACTGGGAGGAGCGGAGGCGAGGAGAAGGGGGGAGGGAGCGAAGGAAGGGTGGTGCGGGCGAAGATACGAGGGCCGCGGAGAAGCAGAGGGTCGCAGAGGGTCGCAGAGGGTCGCAGAGGGTCGGGGATGTTCAGATCGAGGAAGAACGACGATGTGGTGAGGAGGGAGGGGCGGTGAGGAGGGAGGGGCAGTGAGGAGGGAGGGGCGGTGAGGAGGGAGGGGCGGTGAGGAGGGAGGGGCGGTGAGGAGGGAGGGGCGGTGAGGAGGGAGGGGCGGTGAGGAGGGAGGGGCGGTGAGGAGGGAGGGGCGGTGAGGAGGGAGGGGTGTGAGCCGTGCGCTGCGTGTTTCCCATGTCTCATTCCGGCGGCCTGCCCAAGTTCGCTTGTGCCATGCCCTTGCCACATGCCCCATGACCATGGCCATGCTCATGCCAAGTGCTGTGCTCCTGTGGTGTGCTCCTGTGGTGTGCTCCTGTGGTGTGCTCCTGCGGTGTGCTCCTGTGGTGTGCTCCTGTGGTGTGCTCCTGCGGTGTGCCCTGTGTCGTGTGCCTGTGGTGGCAGCAGAGCCGGTTGACCCGGCAGCAGAAAGAGCGAGTGAAGCAGTTTGTGGGCTCCACTGGGGCAAGGTGAGCCACGCATGCCACGCAAGCCATGCATACCACAGATGCCATACATGCCATGCATGCCATGAAAGCCATGCATACCACAGATGCCATACATGCCATGCATACCACGCATGCCATGCATACCACAGATGCCATACATGCCATGCATGCCACGCATGCCATGCATGCCATACATGCCATACATGCCACGCACACAAGCTCCACATTACTGCGGGCATGCTCTCATCATCGCATCACCCCCCGTACCCCTCCCCGTGCATGCATGGCCGGCTGCCAGTGAGCGCGATGCGCTGGCGGCGCTGCAGGGCAGCGAGTGGGAGGTGGCGGCAGCGCTGGCGCGCTACCAAGGGGGCACAGCCACGGCCGCCAGGGGGGGAGGGGGAGGCTTCCTGGCAGCGCTGACGGGCCATGGGCGCCTGCACTACCACCACCAGCACCAGGGCGGGCAGGCGGTGCCGCCACAGCAGCCTCCAGTGGACCCCATCCAAGAGCTCTTCCTGCGCTATAAAGGTGTGCTCTGCCGCCGGCACATGTGCGCCCTGCACGCCCTGTTCAGCAGTGCAAGCTAAGCCTTGGTCTCGTTCCTCAGTCTCCCTCCCTCTCGCCCTGCTGTGTGTGCCGCCCATCAGACCCAGACTCCGATATGATTCTGGCGGACGGCATCTCCCAGCTGTGTGAAGACCTGCAGGTGCGCTGCTCACCCTCGTGCCGCGCCTCTGCGCATTCCGTCCCTGCTTGCTTGCACGCCCACAGCAACACCACACAGCTTCTCCTTCCCAACCGCTCTACCTGGTTTTCCAAAGCGGCGCCCGTGGCAGCACATGCCTCTTCGTGCCGTGGCAGCACATGCCTCTTCGTGCCGTGGCAGCACATGCCTCATCATGCCGTGGCAGCACATGCCTCATCATGTCGTCCCAACTCTGCGCCATGCCCTTCTACTCACACCCCTCCCCCTCTCCCTGTGCCATGCATGCTGCCCCGTGTTGGACATGCCATGATGACGTCATCAGGTGGAGCCACAAGACATTGTGATGGTGAGCTGCTCTCCCTCTCTGTTTGCCCACTCAACCTTTCACGCATGCCTCTCTGTTTCTTCTGGAGTGGATTCGTAGTGGACTCGTTTGCCGGCCCTTCCCGTTGCGCGTGCACCCATTCCTGCAAGTGCCACTGCGTCTCTCCCCACGTGCCCCTGCGTACTGCCATGCCCTCATGTGCTGTGTGCCATGCCCTCATGTGCTGTGTGCCATGCCCTCATGTGCTGTGTGCCATGCCCTCATGTGCTGTGTGCCATGCCCTCATGTGCTGTGTGCCATGCCCTCATGTGCTGTGTGCCATGCCCTCATGTGCTGTGTGCCATGCCCTCATGTGCTGTGTGCCATGCCCTCATGTGCTGTGTGCCCTGCCCTCATGTGATGTGTGCGCCGGCAGCTGGTGCTGTCCTGGCATCTCAACGCCGCCACCATGTGCGAGTACTCCCGCCACGAGTTCACCTCCGGCCTTCGCTCCCTGCGGTCCGTCACACTCACCCTCTCCTTGCAACGCCTTCCTGCTTGCGCCTTGCCCCTGCTGGCCAACGTGTGCTCTGCCTTGGCACTCTGCCCCTCTCTCCACCCTTGAGCCGGGGCCGTCAACGCCCTGTGTCCCGCCTTCACTCAAACAACGCCCTGTGTCCCGCCTTCACTCCCACGCGCACCTGTGCCTCCTCGCCCCTCCCACTTGTTTCCTTCCCCACACCCCCCCCACACCCCCCCCCCACCCCCCCCAACCCCCCCCACACCCGCCCCTGCCACGTGGCGTGGTGGCAGAGTGACGTCGGTGGACGCGCTGAAGGCGCTGCTGCCATCGTTCCGCCGCGAGCTGCAGGACGAGAGTGAGAGGGGGGGGGGAGGCTGGGGGCGCATGAGATGAATGAGGGGCGCATGGGAGTGAGGGGCGCATGGGAGTGAGGGGCGCATGGGAGTGAGGGGCGCATGGGAGTGAGGGGTGCATGGGAGTGAGGGGTGCATGGGAGTGAGGGGCGCATGGGAGTGAGGGGTGCATGGGAGTGAGGGGCGCATGGGAGTGAGGGGTGCATGGGAGTGAGGGGTGCATGGGAGTGAGGGGCGCATGGGAGTGAGGGGCGCATGGGAGTGAGGGGCGCATGGGAGTGAGGGGCGCATGGGAGTGAGGGGTGCATGGGAGTGAGGGGTGCATGGGAGTGAGGGGCGCATGGGAGTGAGGGGCGCATGGGAGTGAGGGGCGCATGGGAGTGAGGGGCGCATGGGAGTGAGGGGCGCATGGGAGTGAGGGGCGCATGGGAGTGAGGGGCGCATGGGAGTGAGGGGTGCATGGGAGTGAGGGGCGCATGGGAGTGAGGGGCGCATGGGAGTGAGGGGCGCATGGGAGTGAGGGGTGCATGGGAGTGAGGGGTGCATGGGAGTGAGGGGCGCATGGGAGTGAGGGGCGCATGGGAGTGAGGGGCGCATGGGAGTGAGGGGCGCATGGGAGTGAGGGGCGCATGGGAGTGAGGGGCGCATGGGAGTGAGGGGTGCATAGGAGTGAGGGGCGCATGGGAGTGAGGGGCGCATGGGAGTGAGGGGCGCATGGGAGTGAGGGGCGCATGGGAGTGAGGGGTGCATGGGAGTGAGGGGCGCATGGGAGTGAGGGGCGCATGGGAGTGAGGGGCGCATGGGAGTGAGGGGCGCATGGGAATGAGGGGCGCATGGGAGTGAGGGGCGCATGGGAGTGAGGGGTGCATGGGAGTGAGGGGCGCATGGGAGTGAGGGGCGCATGGGAGTGAGGGGTGCATGGGAGTGAGGGGCGCATGGGAGTGAGGGGCGCATGGGAGTGAGGGGTGCATGGGAGTGAGGGGCGCATGGGAGTGAGGGGCGCATGGGAGTGAGGGGTGCATGGGAGTGAGGGGCGCATGGGAGTGAGGGGCGCATGGGAGTGAGGGGCGCATGGGAGTGAGGGGCGCATGGGAGTGAGGGGCGCATGGGAGTGAGGGGCGGAGGTTGAGAGTGGGAAGCCAAGCAGCCTCTTAGGATGGGGGAGTGCAGGCGTAGCATGATAGGTGCGGGCGTTGCTCGGCTGCAGCTTCTCATCCCCTCTCTGCCTCCACCTACCTCACCACTTCCTACTCTCACGTCAACGAACAACCGCACTGTTCCCACTGCCCTTGCCCCTCGCGTTCCCCTTCCCTCTCCTGTCCCTCTTGCCCCTCTTGCCCCTCTTGTCCCTCTTGCCCCTCTTGCCCCTCTTGCCCCTCTTGCCCCTCTTGCCCCTCTTGCCCCTCTTGCCCCTCTTGCCCCTCTTGCCCCTCTTGCCCCTCTTGCCCCTCTTGCTTCCCGTGCCTCGGTGCTCGTCTTGTGCTTGCTGGTGCTGCCTCTTGGACAGATGTGTTTCGCCAAATATACAACTTTGCGTTCGCATGGGCCAAGGAAAAGGTATGCGTGGATATGGCATGTGAGCAGAGGGGGACGAGGGCAGTGTTTTGGGAGGCGTCCTTTGACCCTGCATCATTCAGAACAACCAAGGCCATGGTTGAGGGGGCAGGCGTGAGTCATGGCAGGCGTGAGTCATGGCATGCCAGTCCACTGGCAGTGCCCGGCATGCTGCAAGGCAGAGCATCGCGCCATCCACAACACCTCCTCCCATCTCACCCTCTCATTCCCTGCCTCTCTCTCCCCCCTCCCCCTTCCCAGGGGCAGAAGTGTTTGGCGCTGGACACGGCGGTGGGCATGTGGCAGCTGCTGCTGGGCTACCGCAGCTGGCCGCATGTGGACCACTGGTGCGACTTTGTCAGGGTGAGTCGCTGCCGTGCCCGCCGCTGCTGTGCCTTGGTCAGGGTGAGAGTGGTGGAGCGAGGGTGAGAGTGGTGGTGCGAGGGTGAGAGTGGTGGTGCGAGGGTGAGAGTGGTGGTGCGAGGATGACACCCGATAAGGGAGTGGGGATTGTGAAGTGAAGGAGGGGGAGTGGGGACTGATGGATCACATGGAGTGGGGCTCGTGATTCAGAGTGCAGCACTCACAATCCGCTGCACCACACGCACATGCCCTCCCGCTGCACCACAGGCACATGCCCTCCCGCTGCAACACATGGGCATGCCCTTGCCCTGCACTGACCATCCCATGTACCCCATGAATGCTGCATCTCACACCCCCCCCCTATGAGAGCAGGTGCAGCACAACAAGGCCATTTCCAAGGACACCTGGTCGCAGCTCTTCGAATTCTCCCGGGTATGCCCCTGCCCCTGCCCCTGCCCCTGCCCCTCGTAGCCTGCACCTGCATTGCTTGTCCCTCCACCCTTGCCAGGCGGGGACTCTGCCCCATGCCATCCCGTCAGCCATCATGCACCATTGTGCACCTTTCTTAAATACTGCTCCCCGTGCCATGCCCTCCTCCCCCCTCGTCCCCCCCTCTCCTGCGTGCGAGCAGCTGACCCAGGGGCAGCTGGAGCAGTACGACGAGGGCGGCGCGTGGCCGTACCTCATCGATGAGTTCGTCGACAGCCTCCGCGCCGCTGGCTCCCTGCCGCCCGCCTGACTCCTCACACACACTCCCTGCCTCCTGCCCGAGGGCTTGGGAGACCCACTCATGTGCACACAGCTGGTACCACTGTGCACCCTGGTTGAAGCGCGAAGCAGCAGCTAGGCTGTTGTACAACTCAAATCCATTTATATTGCAAAAAACCAGTAACCAGATTAGATTATGTAAGTCCTTACCCCAACCGAGAGCATGTTGCATCCAATGAGTTGCTGTATGCAAAACTCATAATGCCACGGATTGCGATATAACTCGCCACCGCGCAAAACAGTACGTTAGTAAGGAGGCATGAGTTATACTGCACAATACAATGCTTTACAGCCTGGCAGGCCAATGCCATCCCCTGTGCACTGCAAAGCAGGTGCGGAATCAATATCCCCCAAGTCACCACTGATGTTGCCGGAATAGCGGCGATTCCCCTTTGGGTGGCGGTCGGGCGGCGGGCGACTCGCCCCGGGCGGGCTGCAGGAGGGCGTCGACGAGGAAGTGGTCGGCGTGGATGGCGGCCTTGAACTCGTCGAAGCTGAGGCGGCCGTCGCAGTTGGCGTCCATGCGGTCAAAGAACTCGTCCAGAATGCCCGGCTCGAGGATGTCGGGGGGGAGGTAGTCCTCGGGCAGGGCCTGCCATGCCATGCCATGCCATGCCACGCAAGCAGGCCCAGCAGCAAGACGGCACAGAGAGGTGACGGGTGAGACCTTGAGGGAGACAACCCAAGACGTGAAGACGTGAAGACGTGACAGTGAAGGCATATCGTCTCTGTCCCTAAGATTATCTGTTCAACTGCTGGCGATGGTGTGTGGGTGCAAGATATGAGCACACATGGCACTGCTACATGACAAGTGCTGGTGGACATACATAGCGCAAGCACACACCGGCACCGCCCAGTCACCTTGAGCATGGCGGCGAGCTCGTCCTTGGAGATGTACCCCGAGTCATCCGCATCGTACATCTGCACGCCACGGAGAGGACGGCGGGGCAGGGAGAGCACAGAGAAAGGGCCACCTGGGTCCAGTGAGCCAGGTAACACACGTTTGTAGAGTCGACTGCTGCATGAGGTGCCCCTCTTCCAGCTTGGGGCACAAGCACACAGCAGCGCACCACACAGCAGCGCACCACAGAGGCGCACCTTGAAGCAGCGGCGCACCTTGAAGCAGCGGCGCACCTTGAAGCAGAGGCGCAGGGCGTCGTCGCCTTGGGACTTGCGGAAGGCGGCGAGGCCGCACACGATCTCCCTCATGTCCACCGCGCCGTTCTTGTCGCTGTCAAAGACCTCGAACACGCGGCGCGCCATGGGCACGAGGCTGCCCATGCTCAAGGCTCTCAGCACGTCCTCAAACTCCGACACCGTCACACTCGTGCCACTCGACGATCTGAGGGGGGCATGGGGGGAGGGAGGTGGGGGGGGAATGGCACACACGATCAGTGGAGGGAAGAGGCAGGTACAAGATGCGCGCGTGTGTGGAAGGGAGGGGCGAAGGGGGGGAAGAGAGGGGGCACATGCCAGCTCACATTCTCTTGAAGTGTGTGTGGAGGTCCTTGAGCTCCGTCTCATTGAGAGTGTCGAAGCCGCCCAGGATGTTTCGCAGGGCCCGCGTGCGCAGCATGAGCTTGTTGCTCACGATGCTGGCGTACGCTGCCGCGCGGAACTTGCGCCGCGCGTTGAAGGTGAGCAGGCGCCGGCACACCTCAGGCTCCATCGGCTCCTGCCGCGCCGCGTCGCCCTTCACCCACGGGTGCAGCAGCAGCTGGCAGAGGGCCAAGCACGGCACGAGGAGAGGGAGGGGGGGGGGGAGATTTCAGCAACTCCATGCAGGAAGGGCGACACATCCAGAGGGGATGCCGGGCACGCGTGGGTGGTTAGAGAGGGGGTTGCTTGCTTACTTCAGCGGCCGTGGGTCTCTTGGTGGGGTCAACGGTGAGCAGGCTGGTGACGAGCTGCTTGGCGGACTGCGAGATGCTCTTCCACGACGACTCGTCAAAGTCAAAGCTCGCCTGCCACACAATGCACCGTGGGAATGCGCAAGTTCGAGCCAGTCAGAACGACAGTTGCAGTGCAGTGCATTGCATTGCATTGCGTGGTGCAAGAGCGAGCGGTGCAGGGTGGGGACGGGACTTACGTTGAGGATGAGTTGTTGTTTGGCACGGTTGTTGAGGGCATGGAACGGCGGATACCTGCACAGAAGAAGCACCCACCAACCATGAAGCATCGATCGCTCGACCTAGCCCACAGATGCCCAGGGAGCACAAATGAATGGCACCAGTGTCACCCGCACACCAGGTCGGCCCAGCCCTTCCCCGCACAGCTTGGTTGCCCCACCCATCCGCACAGCACTGACCCTCCAGGAGCGCAACTTCACCCACCTGCACAGCATGCACTCCCCCCCCTCACTGACCCGCAGAGCATGCAGTCCCCCCCCCCCCAACCCCCACTGACCCGCAGAGCATGCAGTCCCCCCCCCCCCCAACCCCCACTGACCCGCAGAGCATGCAGTCCCCCCCCCCGCCCCCAGTGACCCGCAGAGCATGCACCCCCCCCTCCCCCCCGCCCCCAGTGACCCGCAGAGCATGCACTCCCCCCCCCCAGTGACCCGCAGAGCATGCAACCCCCCCCCCTCCCGCCCCCACTGACCCGCAGAGCAGGATGTAGAGGATGACGCCGAGCGACCACATGTCCCCGGCGGCCCGGGACTCGCGGCGGGAGAGAGCTTCGGGCGACACGTAGTCAATGGAGCCGAAGAGGCCCACGAGCGGGCTCGTCTCGCCCTCGATGGAGCTCAGCCCGAAGTCCATGATCTTGAGCGGCGAGTCGGGCGCGGGCGTGAGGAAGAGGCAGTTCTCGGGCTTGAGGTCGCGGTGCGCGATGCGCGCGGCGTGCAGGCTGCACAGCCCGCTCGCGATCTGGCGGATGACCTGCGCGGCGCCCGCCTCGGAGTAGCGCTCGTGCTGCACGATGCGGTCGAAGAGCTCGCCGCCCGAGCAGAGCTCGAGCACGAGGTGGATGCACGCCGCGTCCTCGAAGACGTCGACGAGGTGGATGACGTTGGGGTGCGGCGAGACGGCGTCCACGATGCGGTTCATCACCATGATCTCGTTCTCCACCAGCGCGTTCGACACGCTCACCCCGCCGTGCTTCTTCAGCGTCTTCACCGCCACCGCTGCGCCATCCTCCTTGCTCACGGCGCGCTGCACGACGGAGAAGCCGCCCGTGCCCAGCACCTCGTGCAGCGTGTAGAAGTCCTCCAGCCGCCGGCTCTCCTCCTCCTCCACGTCGCCCATTCACGCCGCGCTGACGGGCCAACTCCAAGACGGGCCGCCGGGCGGTCGCGCGGGCGGAGGGAGCAAACGCAGAGAATATAACCGTTCAGAATGAGAGAGGAACGGAAGCGGCAGGTTGAACGTCGCGAGAAGGTAACCACTTGGCGAAACGTCGGGAAACTTCTCGAGACGAGCGCAAAGTAGGTCCTAATTGCTACCTAACTGCGCTGCGGTAATAACCGTATTTCCACTGCCAGAAAATGAGAATCGACCTTCGTTCCCTGATTACTCTCTTCCGCCTCACCACTGAGGGAGGCCCGAGGGCCTGGTTCCTCGATTGACACGATAACCCGAAACGGGTGGGCGAAAAGCTGACGAAGATCTAATCATTTTCGCCAACAACCACAGTAGCCTGCTCCCCAAATGTGTAACTTGAGTGGGTCAACGCTCGGAATCCAATATACTCTTCGAAACGGCCTGCCAGCGGAGCAACAGCTAACCAAAAGTGCCCCCCGGTTCGGTTTCGTACCATCCGCGCTGGTAACCATTCCGACGGACACGCAAGCCAGACTGCAAGCACAGCCCCTTGAGAGTTCAGAAATGAACTCCAACTCAGCCCCACCCTCCCTCAGTTTGCCATCCATCCAGAAATCTAGGGTGCCTTCCTTGCCTCTAGTCAAGGTTCTAGTCAAGTAAGATGCGGCGCTCAGAGCTCTAAACCGCTCATTTTCGGCACGCAGAGCTCTGAATAGCTGTGAAAGTCGGCCACTTGGCTAGACTAGAAGTCTGACTAGAGGCTAGGAATTTACCCTTAGAAGTCGCAGGTACCTCGTCGGCCGCAGTAGGTCGGCTCCGCGTGCGCCATGCTCCACTTGCCGCTATCGCCCGGCCCCTCTCCGGCGGCAGCGGCTGCCCTACACGCCCGCAGGCTCCCTCTACTCCCGCGGCCCCCCCCCCGCTCGCCTGCCTTTGCTTCAATCCGCGCCCTCCGCCCGCCCTCACCCCTCCGCGCGACGTCACGCCATGCGCCAGTGCCTCCACACGCGTGTCCGCCCGCCCTCTTGCATTCCGCGGTGAGTGAGCCGTGGAGAATGGCCCGCGCCTGGACTGCCTGCGCTGCTGCCACTGCGGTGGTTTGTTCCGCGGTGAGGGGGACATTCAGTGGGACTGCGTGCCGATGGCGTTGCTCCAGTGGCGTTGAGCGGTGGGCGGTGTTGACTCATGCTGTCTGGGTGGGGCTGCCTGCCGCTCACTCACGTTGCCTGATGCGCTTTCCTTGATTCGGCTGCCACTGCATCGCTGGGATTACAGGACTGGGGTTCACACAGATAGCTGACATTCAAACCGACCACGTGCACTCGAACCAGATTGAGACGCACCCCCTGCAACCCATCCACCCCCAGCACCCCATGCATCCCATGCACCCCCTGCACCCCCTGCACCCCATGCTCCCCATGCACCCCCTGCACCCCATGCTCCCCATGCACCCCGTACACCCATGCACTCCGTGCACCCCCCCATTCACCCCATGCATCCCGTGCACCCCATGCACACCATGCATCCCATGCACCACATGCACCCCATGCACACCATGCACACCATGCACCCCGTGCATCCCGTGCACCCCATGCTCCCCATGCACCCCATGCAATGCGTGCGCCCCATGCACCCCATGCACCCTGTGCACCTCCTACACCCCCATGCACCCCATGCACCCCGTGCACCCCGTACACCCATGCACGCCGTGCACCCCCCCATGCACCCCATGCATCCCATGCACCCCATGCACACCATGCACACCGTGCACCCCGTGCATCCCGTGCACCCCATGCACCCCATGCACCCTGTGCACCGCATGCACCCCATGCACCCTGTGCACCGCATGCACCCCATGCACCACATGCACCCATGCACTCCGTGCACCCCATGCACCCCAAGCACCCTGTGCACCTCGTGCACCCCGCCCACCCCATGCACCCCATGCACCCCATGCAATGCGTGCGCCCCATGCACCCCATGCACCCCGTGCACCTCCTACACCCCATGCACCCCATGCACCCCGTGCACCCATGCACGCCGTGCACCCCCCCATGCACCCCATGCATCCCATGCACCCCATGCACACCATGCAAACCGTGCACCCCGTGCATCCCGTGCACCCCATGCACCCCATGCACCCCATGCACCCTGTGCACCGCATGCACCCCATGCACCACATGCACCCATGCACTCCGTGCACCCGATGCACCCCAAGCACCCTGTGCACCTCGTGCACCCCATGCACCCCATGCACCCCATGCACACCATGCACACCATGCTCCCCGTGTACCCCATGCTCCCGATGAACCCCATGCATCCCATGAACCCCGTGCGCGCCATGCACCCCATGCACCCCATGCACCCCCTGCACCCCATGCGCCCCATGCACCTCTTGCACCCCGAGCACGCCACGCACCCCATACACCCCATGCACGCCATGCACCCCATAGACACCATGCACGCCGTGTACCCCATGTACCCGTGCATCCCATGCGCCCCGTGCACCCCATGCATCCCATGCGCCCCATGCGCCCCATGCTCCCCATGTGCCCATGCACCCCATGCACCCCATGCACCCCATGCGGATGCACACCGTGCAACCCATGCACACGCACACCGTGCACCCCGTGCATCCCGTGCACCCCATGCACCCCATGCACCCCATGCACCCCATGCACCCCATGCACCCCATGCACCCCATACACCCCATTCAACCCATGCACCCTGTGCATCCCGTGCACCCCATGCACCCAATGCACCCCGTGCACCCTGTGCGCCCCATGCGCCCCATGCGCCCCATGCACCCCATGCACCCCATGCACCCCGTGCACCCCATGCACCCCATGCATCCCGTGCACCCATGCACTCCGTGCACACTTTGCACCCCATGCACCCCATGCACCCCGTGCACCCCATGCACCCCATGCACCCCATGCACCCCATGCACCCCATGCACCCCGTGGCACCCCATGCACCCCATGCATGCCATGGCGGATTGAGGTGTTGCACTTGAGTGAGTTGACGAGATCACAGCAGCAACCACCACTCCTGACAAAGTCGCCCCGCGCCATGGCATCCTTTGCAAAGCCTTCCGCTGGGTTCAGTGGGTTTCCGTCACTACTGCCTTCATTGGTTCTTTCATTTGAAGGCAATCAATGCAGCATCCTTCACGAAAGTATGCTCCTGACTGCTTTACCACCAATGTACCTCCCTGTTTTTTTTTCTGTCAGCCACTTCCCATTCCCCTCTCCTTTTCCCCATCCCTTCTCCCCTGTTGATCACATCCAGTGCCAGCAACGAGCCTTCCAGCCCATCTCCCATGGGGCGGACCACAGGCTTCGGTGCGCTGCTGTAGTGGCAGCCGGAGCAGGAGGCCAGCAGTTCAGTGTGTCGGATGGCGAGCTGATGGCGCGCGGCATCTCCGTGCATTGGGACACGGCGCAGCTCGACTACGCCAAGCTCGACGACCTTTTCTACCGCGCTGGCTTCCCGCGCCGCGGCCCCAAGAAGCTGCAGAGGGCCATGGGCCACTCCACCCTCGTGCTCTGGTTCTCTGCCCCAGAAGCGTCTCCTTCAGACACGCGCCCCTTCTTCTCCTCTTCCCCCTCCCCCTCCTCCCCCGCGCCCGGGGGGCCCGAGGCGGGGGTGGAGCCGGTGGCGTTTGCGCGCACGGCGGGGGACGGCGTGTTCAACGAGGTGGTGTGGGACGTGGCGGTGGACCCGCGGCTGCAGGGCAGCGGGCTGGGCAGGGCGCTCATGGAACGGCTGGTGGACGCCCTGCTGCGCTCGGGAGTGCGCAACGTGGGGCTCTTTGCGGAGCAGCGCGTTGTCACCTTCTACCGCCCGCTGGGGTTCGCCATGGACCCAGATGGCATCACATGCATGGCCCACAGGTCGCAGGAGAAAAGGGGCAAGCTATGATAATCAGGAGGGAGGGAGGGGGAGTTGTTTGCAACCCTGTATGAGTAGGAGGGAGGATAGTATAGAAGGTTGCATGAATTATTGTGTTTTGGGTGAGAATTGATGGAGGATATCAGTGAATGGGGGAGGTTAGTAAAGGGGAGTACCAGTAGCTGCCACATGCCGTATTCCCCCAAATATACGCCATGCTGTCAAACATGTGTATTTGTCATGTTTGTATAGACTGTATAGAGTCACCTCTTAGAGGATACAAAACTTAGATATATTTGTGTGTACTCTCACTTTACCACTATTTCAATTATTCTGATATGGTATCACGCGTAGGTAGGATCCCCCCCCCCCACCTACCGCTTCCGCTCATGCCCCCTAGCGCCCCTCCTGGGCCCCGTCGCGCTCCTCCCAGGCCCCGTCGCGCTCCTCCCAGGCCCCGTCGCGCTCCTCCCAGGCCCCCTAGCGCCCCTCCTGGGCCCCGTCGCGCTCCTCCCAGGCCCACTAGCGCCCCTCCTGGGCCCCGTCGCGCTCCTCCGAGGTCCCGTAGCGCCCCGTCGCGCCCCTCCTGGGCCCCGTAGCGCCCCTCCTGGGCCTCGTCGCGCCCCTCCTGGGCTTCGTAGCGCCCCTCCTGGGCCCTGTACCGCCCTCCCAGGCCCCGTCGCGCCCCTCCCAGGCCCCGTCGCGCCCCTCCCAGTCCCTCTAGCGCCCCTCCTGGGCCCCGTCGCGCTCCTCCCAGGCCCCGTAGCGCCCCGTCGCGCCCCTCCTGGGCCCCGTAGCGCCCCTCCTGGGCCTCGTCGCGCCCCTCCTGGGCTTCGTAGCGCCCCTCCTGGGCCCTGTAACGCCCTCCCAGGCCCCGTCGCGCCCCTCCCAGGCCCCGTCGCGCTCCTCCCAGGCCCCCTAGCGCCCCTCCTGGGCCCCGTCGCGCTCCTCCCAGGCCTCGTAGCGCCCCTCCTGGGCTCTTTCGCGCCCCTCCTGGGCTCCGTAGCGCCCCTCCTGGGCCCCGTCGCGCCCCTCCTGGGCCCCGTAGCGCCCCTCCTGGGCCCCGTCGCGCCCTCCTTGGGCCCTGTAGCGCCCCTCCTGGGCCCCGTCGCGCCCCTCCCAGGCCCCGTCGCGCCCCTCCCAGGCCCCGTAGCGCCCCTCCTGGGCCTCGTCGCGCCCCTCCTGGGCTTCGTAGCGCCTCTCCTGGGCCCCCCGTCGTGCCCCTCCTGGGCCCCGTAGCGCCCCTCCTCGGCCGCGTCGTACCCGTCGCCGCCGCCCGGCCCCGTCGCGCCCGCCCGACCCCGTCGCCGCCGCCCGGCCCCGTCGCGCCCGCCCGGCGCCGTCGCCGCCGCCCGGCCCCGTCGCGCCCGCCCGGCGCCGTCGCACCCTGCCCGGCCCGTCGCGCTCGCCCGGCCCCGTCGCAGCCGCCCGGCCCCGTCGCACCCGCCCGGCCCCGTCAAACCCTGCCCGGCCCCGTCACAGCCGCCCGGCCCCGTCGCACCAGCCCGGCCGCCGTCCCGCTCGCCCGGCCCCGTCGCACCGGCCCGGCCCTGCCGCACTCGCCCGGCCCCGTCGCCCCAGCCCGGCCCCGTCGCGCCCGCTCGGCCCCGTCGCGCCCGCTCGGCCCCGTCGCCCCGTCCCGGCCCTGTCGCATCAGCCCGGCCCCGTCGCGCCCGCCCGGCCCCGTCGGGCCAGCCCCGGCCCCGTCCTCCTCACTGGTACGGTTCCCCCCCCCCCCCCCCCCCCCCCCCCCCCCACCCCGCCCTGCACCGCACTGTACCGCACTGCACCGCACTGCACCGCATTGCACCGCACTGCACCGCACTGTACCGCACAGTACCGCACTGCACCGCACTGCACCGCACTGTATCGCACTGCACCGCACCCCACCTAGCTGCACCGCCCTGCAAAGCACTGGACTGTTCCTGATGGCGGCGGAGCTTCGCTTCGACGCTGAAGGTCAGCCCCTAGAGTTCGAGGCGTGGCTTGCCGACCTCCGCCGCCAACTCACTGGCCAGCGGCAGGATGGTGAACCGCTTTCCGCACACCTTGACGGTACGCTCCCCTGCCCAGACCCTCCTGCTATTCTGCCCGCTGACCCCACACCCACTGAGCGCGAGTCCACTGCTGCCACTGCCCGTGCGCGCTCTGTCTGGCTTTCTCGCGATGCTGTCGCCCAGCTTGCCATTAGCAACGCCCTCCCCCCGTCCGAGCGTCCTCGCTTTAGGTCCCTCACTACTGCTCAGGCATACTTAGATGCTGTGATCAAGCGCTATTCCACCCCTCCGGCTGCCTCGGTGGGTCGCCTGATCCTCCCGCTGCTCTTTCCTGACCTTGCTTCGTTCCCCACTGTCTCTGACCTCGCTGCTCACCTGCGCTCGATAGAGGAGACCTGGCGCGCCGCATGCACTAACGCACAGCTTAGAGCCCACCAGCCGCCCATTACCTCTACCCTCTACCTGCTTGCCACCCGCCTCCCTGACCGCCTTGCTGTCGCCCGCGACCGCTTCCTTAGTGTTCACCCCGCAGACCTCACCCTCACTGACTTTGTCGACACCCTGACTGTGATAGAGACCCGTCACCGCTCCATCGCCCAGGCGAGCGGTGTCGTGCCGGTCCCTATCTTTCAGGGTTGTGCCCCCGCTCAGTGTACCTTCTCCGACGGCTCTGCCGCAGTGGCTGAGACTGCTGCTGCAGCGCAGGCCCGTTCTGGGAAGGGCCGCCGCCCCAAGGCTGGGCGCGGCGGAGGGGGCGGCGGGGGTGCGGGCGGGGGTAGTGGTGGGGTCGGGTCGCCTGGTGCTGGAGCGGACGAGGGGACCCTGCCCAGTCCAGCTGAGTCGCCGCCCCTGCAGTTGCAGCAGCCGCAGCAGCCGCCGCAGTCGCAGCCTTCGCAGCAGCCGCAGCAGCCGTCGCAGACGCGGCAGACGAGTGTTCTCCCGCCAGGGTGGCCCGGCGCTGGCGGTGGACGGGCGCGTGGTGGTGTGCCGCGTGGTGGCTCTGCCGGCGGGCGTTGTCAGTACCAGATCCAGACCGGTCCTCGCCGCGGTTTCGTTTGCGGTAAGATCGGTCACTCCACTCCCCGCTGCTTTCGTCGCCTGGACGACCTCTTTCGTCAGCGTTTCGGCCCGTCGCCAGACCTCCCGGACTGGCACAGTTTGCTTAGTCGTCAGATTCAGATCTTTGATATGGACATGGATGCCATTGTTTCTGCTCTGCATGTGATGTATGCTGATGACTCTAGTGTGCTTCCGACTTATTACTCACTGTTGCCTAGTGTAGGTGTGCCTAGCTTAGCCTCCCCTGCTGCGTCAGGCGTAGGATCCCCTGCTTTGTGTAGTCTTGGTGCTTCTGCCGTCGTTCCGTCGCCAGACCCCTCGGCTTCGCTTTCCTTCACCTTGGACTCTGGCGCCTCTCGGTGTTTCTTCCGCGACTCCACCACCCTGACGCCGCTTCCTGTTCCTGCTGCCGTTTCTCTTGCTGACCCCTCCGGCGGCCCGGTAGTCGCCCGCAGTTCCACCACCCTTCCCTGTCCGGCGGTTCCTTCGGGCTCTCTTACAGGTCTGCATATCCCCTCGTTCTCCAGGAACCTAGTTGGTGTCGGCTGCCTCCAGGACCTTGGCGTCACCACTACGTTCCCTGGTCACGAGCGGTATGCTGTCTGTACCGAGGCCGCCACTGGTGCCCCCCTGTCCACGTTCCCCCGGGACCCGGTGTCCGGCCTGTTCACTCTGGACACCGTGCCCCCCCCAGCTGGAGCGCCCCCTCAGGTGGCTGTGTCTACCCAGGTTGCTGCTGCCTGCTCCTGTCGCTCCCTCACTCACCCGACCCTCCTGTGGCACCACCGCCTAGGTCACCCTGCGCTCCCGCGTCTGCGTCACATGTCCCAGCATGGTCTTGTCCTTGGTCTCCCAGGTTCACTCCCCGCGTTTCCCTCCTCCCCAGCTCCACCTTGCACGCCTTGTGTCGAGGGTCGGCTTCGCCGTGCCCCTCACTCCTCCTCGTTCCCCCCTACCGCCGCGCCGCTGCAGACCCTGCACCTGGACGTCTGGGGCCCCGCCCCCGTCCCTGGGCCGCGTCGCGAGCGCTACTTCCTTGTGCTTGTCGACGACTTCACTCGTTACACCACAGTCTTTCCCCTGGAGCGCAAGGCCGACGTGCCTGGCGCCCTCATCCCCTGGCTTGTCTCTGCGCGTGTCCACCGCGGTCTCCCTGTCTTGCGTCTTCACTCAAACCGTGGTGGCGAGTTTGCCTCAGGTGTCCTTGGTCGCTTTTGTCGTGCGGAGGGCATCACCCAGACGTTCACCCTACCGGACTCCCCACAGCAGAATGGGGTCGCTGAGCGACGCATCGGCTTGGTCATGGAGGTCGCTCGCACCTCCATGGTCCATGCCGGTGCACCCCATTTTCTGTGGCCGTTCGCTGTGCGCTACGCTTCTCACCAGCTTAACCTGTGGCCGCACCCTCAGCAGCCGCAGGTTTCGCCGACCCGTCTTTGGACTGGGTCTCCTGGTGACGCGTCTGCGTTCCACGTCTGGGGCTGCCTTGCTCACGTCCGTGCCTCCGGCACGGACAAGCTCACTGCCCGCACCCTTCCCTGCGTCTTCCTCGGTTTTCCCCTTGACGCGTCCGACTGGCACTTTTACCACCCGCCGTCTCACCGCTTCTTTCACTCTCGTGACGTCACCTTTGACGAGTCCGTCTCCTACTACCGCCGCTTCCCCCACCGTGGTCCCCCGGTTACCCCCCCCCTGTTCCTGGTCACCCCTTCCCCGGTAGTCCCTGCCCCTCCTCCTCCTCCTCCCCGTCCCGCCCCCTCTGGTGTCTCCCACGTCACCCCCCTTCCGTCCGTGGACCCGGTTGAGGAGTCTTCTGACTCTGGTGGCCCTCCGGTGCAGTCCTCGCCGGCCGCCCCTCCCCAGGTGTCCCCCCCCCGGTCCCCTCCTCCGCCGCCCCTGCCGCCGCTGCAGCCGTCGCCGTCGCCGCCGCCGCTGCCGCCGCCGCCGTCGCAGCCCCCGTTCGCTGACTCTGGGGGTGCTCGTCCCGGTCGCCCTGAGGGTGGTCCCTCTGGGGGTGCGGGTGTGGAGAGTGCCGGTGGTAGCCGAGGAGCAGCTTGCGGTCCAGGTGTCGCCGTTGTGCCGCCGCAGCAGCAGTCCCCGCCGGTGTCCGCCCTTCGCCTGCTCGGCCTTCCGTCCCCCGACCCTGCGTCGGTTCCTCCCCGACCGTCTCCTCCTCTTCCTGTCTACGGCCCTGTTTTCCCTCCGCCGGACTCGTCCCCGGCCCGTCTCCCCCCTCGTTCCCCTCCTGTGTCCCCTCCTCTG